GAGATATCCGGCTGCTTCCCGACGTTCTAACAGCCCTGCAGCAGCAAATACAGGCATCTGCACCCCGTCCCTGGTGATGTCTACCGGTTCGTAGCAGTTGTCTACGCCGGCCCGCGGCAGATAGCCTGTGAGCCGGCGCGGCGCCGCTCCGGTCCTAATTGGCCGGCCGATGAGTAACGAGCCCGGTGCCGGCCGGTCCTGTTTTATCACCGGCCGACGCGCCACCATTTGTCTCGGCCGCCGCATCGATTGTCGACACCGGCCGGCGCGCCGCTTTGTCCGGTGGCGGCGTTTCCGGCGCGGTGGCGGCGTGAAATGTGCCGCTGACGCGCCACTGTGCGCCGCTGAGCGATCACTGGAGAAGTGGGCCACGGTGACGGCCGCTGGGTCTTGAGACACTCTGGTGGCTGACTCCGGTGACCGACCGGTGTCGAGGCGCAGCGCGGAGTCTGATGAGCCACGGCGGGCTGCGACACCACCGCTGGAGAACGTGACTGGTGTACCGCGCACCAGAGATAAATGGATACATGAAGTGGCTCGTTTTTCAAAGCGATAACCTCGTCGACACCATGTCGTGCTGGACACGTTGCTGCGGAGAGGCAACTAACGGCTTGTTGAACAACTCGGTTGAACGGGAGGTTGAACGGATTTAGTTGGCGAAACACAAACAATATCTAGAGAAACATCTGCCTTATTGCCGTCAGCACTCAGCGCTGATCATTTTAAATTTCAATCGCATCAGATATTTATGTACTTAACTGTCTGTGTATTTTCATAAGTTACGGCAAGACAACAGGGCACAAGCTTCACGAGCCACACATGTTTTAAGCTTGTTTTCGATCGCAAATGTTTATCTGCCATTCTTTTTCTCGCCTTATCAGCGCAATTGTCATTTTCCATGGCTGCCCTGTTATGTTGGCTGCCGAATCCACAGCGGCCTTCGAAAAGCCACACTACCTCTCTGGCGCCTTTCTGGGTAGCCATTCATACTGCACCCAGCATCACTGCCGTCCGCTGCAGCCCACGTCGCCGCCGCCCGTTCGAGCCCTCGCTGCCGCCGTGGGCCCCTGGCGCCGGCAGCGCCCGGCGGCGGGCTCGGCGGCGGCTCGAGAGGCCGTTTTGTCGCGGCATTCAGCAGGCGGCGCTAATGGCCTCGGCTGACATTCAGCGCCGGGTCCATTTAATGCCGTTTATCGAGTAGAATGGTAATTTATTGTGGCATTGAGCGGCGCGGCCGGCGGCTCACCTGGCGGTGACTGCAGCCGGGCCCCGTGTGACTGACTGCCAGTGTGCGCGCCCGGACAGTGACGGCGCTGTGACTCTGGCGGCAGCTGCACGGACGCCGCATTCACCGGACGCGCACAATGGAGCCGCACAAGGTGTCGACGGGACGGGACCGAGGCTGTCGGCGGGCCAGGGTAGCACGCCGGGGACGGTCCCATAGTCAGAGGCCGCGGCCAGGACCTGCTTAGAGAACGGGCCCGTCAACTTCACAGGGAAAGTCAAGTCGTGTCTGGCCGCAAACCAAGCAACAGCGAGTGAAATCAATGGATGAAGTACATGTTGATGGTGATGAAAATGAATTGAATTGGTGAAGAAAATGAATTGATGGTGAAGAAAACGTAGCACCCTGCCCATCCACCAGCGCTTCAATATCTTCAGCCTTACCTATTTTCCAAGGGACTTTTTGCGCTATGTAGGGCGCCACGCTCGCTCTTCTGCCCCATTTTTTCCGCCACATTCTTTGCTCTCCCCCTTCTCTCTGTCACTCTCCCAATTTGTCACTCCTCTTTCTCACTCAACGGCTCTAGTCTCCACATTCTGGAATCGCCGCTGACAGTTTCGGTGACGATCCAGGACGTCACCTTGGAGAGGTGGTGAGCTCCATTACGCCTCTTATGGCACCTGCCAGGAGCGTAGCTGCTCGAGCTGGTGCATATGGTTGATCAGCCGCCGTAGGATGGGTGATTGCCATCTGGAAGGAAGGTACTACCATTCACGGCCCGGCATGAGGGAGGCCTCACTGGATGGATGTCAATCCCTTTCATATGCATATTGATAACGACTCTTTCATCGCGTTTATTTGTGCCGCTTAAACGATTGGCCTTTTTCAGCTGGCATTCTCATCGGTGCCATCGACACCGGCTAATTGTTTGTCTGCTGTTTTTGTTATTATGCACAGGCGACCAAGTGGCACTCTCCACAGGATGGTGAGTTGTGCGAACGTCTCTGTGATTCGCCCCTGTGTGACGCGACCAGAGGCCATCAGGACCGCTGTACCGTCTCCGTGACTCGACTCTGACCGGTGTATCTCGACTGCGACGCATCTCTGGCTGTGACGGCCGTGACGCCTGCTGGGGCGGCGCCGCGCCGTGACAGTCTTTACCGATCGTTCGTCCCGCTGACGGAGCCCGTCTGGGACGGCGGAGGGCGGCGAGATGGGGTGGAGACGGCGGGGAGGGCGGTGATTGCGGCCGACCGATTGCCGCTCGCCTTTTTACCGCGCCGCCTGCCGACTTAATTCGCGCTCAGCGCCACTTGTTACCACCACATCATCAATTGGCACCTATGACAAATTGTGTGGAAGCCGATATGAGGTGGCACCATCTGCTGTTCGGGGCGCCGGAGACGCTGAGGGGCGGCAGAGAGGCTGCGGGCGGACGGACGGAGCGGCCGCAGCGGCGGACGACACAGCGGGACTCCGACACGCTGATTGTAATTACCGACACAGCCAGGGCCTTGGCGCATCATTCAATCATTCACGGTCTCTTCACTTCTGTTTTTGTAGAAAATAGTTTTTTCTGTGCTTTGTTTCCTCAAAACCAGTCGCTGTTTGTTAGACCACGAAAGGCACTTGCGGTCAAACACATCAATATGGGTTGTTCTTGAGTCTTGGTGGTTGGCTATTTTATTTTGATTGTTGAATGTGGGGACTTACAGTTGGCTCTGTTCCGGAAACAGGCATTCTCTTATGAAGCCATTCCGGGAAACTGAATCATCTCGGTGCGCAGCGGCTGCCGGCCGCACGGGTCACTGAGGACCGCTGTTTCTGTGAAGCTCGGCGGCAGCTCGGCCGGCAGCTCGGCCGGCAGATACGGCCTGTCGGCTCCCACCAGCGGCCGTCGGTCAGCGGTTTAATAAGGCCACTGATGGTCGGCTGGGCGGACCCCGCCGGCCCACTGACGGCTCTGACGGACGACCCTGGGACGTCGGCCGGCTGGGGACTCGGCCGAGGCCCGCCCGAGCAGCTCGGCGCGCACTTTTATTAAATTCTTTACGAGCGGCCGCCTTTGAGAAGGTGCGGCGCGCGGCGCGGCGGCGTGTGTGATGTATGGCCGCGGCGCGGCCGGCAGGCGGCGCGCCTCTCAATGGCAGCGCTGATGCCGGCGATCATTTGCTGGGGCCCGGAGCGGGCCCGCCGCGCGCTGATACACGGCATTACACGGCGTTACGGGGCGCGCGCTGCCAGACATCCATTCGGGGGCGCCGCGACACGATGAGATGGGCCTCAATTTGAGCTGCGTCCCGACCCGGCAGGCGCTCGTTTGTTTGAGGCTGTGGAGGCGACACTCGGATTGTTTCGTCGCTCAGCACCCCGCGCACCCGCTCAAACAAATGTTTATCCGTCGCTCTGTGTCGTGTGTTTGTCTTTCCGTTCGCCGGTGTGTGCCCTCCTTGTCAGGAGTGTCAGCAGATGGAGGTGCTGATCGCGCCAACGCTGCAAAGGTAGCTGTGTTTAGCTTAATTTTCGCACTTGTGAGTCCTTTGTGTAAAACGCACTTCATAGACAAGCGACTGCTCTTGTCTAGTCTATGATTACCGGTGTCTGCTGTTCGTATATTATCGTTTATCTCAGTAGTGAACTTTCAAGTGATCCAACACTCTGCCTGTGATTCTTTCAGTAATCTCAAACTAGCGGGTATGGGCGTCATTCATCGTCGCCTGCCTGAATAGTGGCCACCCTGCGCTCTCCGTCCGACCGTGCGCTCCCCGTGTCTGCCTACAGAGCGGGCGCTGTCACTGGCTTCCCATCAAACCCTGTACTCTATGTGCTCCCCGTCTTACCATGCTGCTCCCCGTGTCTGCCTACAGAGTGGGCGCTGTCACTGGCTTCCCCATCAAACCCTGTACTCACTGTGCTTTTCATTCATTCATTCATTCATTCAGTGTATTTTGGTAACCACGAACAAAAAATATCGGCGAAAATAATCGCGGATCGGCGCAAAAGCAAAATGCTTAAATCAAAGCGCCTTTCCCACAAAACATAAGCACAAAAAACACACAAAAAAGGAAATATTAACACGAAAATTAAGTGCAAAGTAAAACCACCTGGCCACAGGTCACGACGGCCCCGCCAACAGCCCGCCGAGCAGCCCTCCGGACATAGTCCTTTGTGTAAAACGCACTTCATAGACTGCTCTCCGTCTTACCATGCTGCTCCCCGTGTCTGCCTACAGAGCGGGCGCTGTCACTGGCTTCCCCATCAAACCCTGTACTCACTGTGCTCTCCGTCCGACCACGCTGCTCCCCGTGTCTGCCTACAGAGCGGGCGCTGTCACTGGCTTCCCCATCAAACCCTGTACTCACTGTGCTCTCCGTCCGACCATGCTGCTCCCCGTGTCTGCCTACAGAGCGGGCGCTGTCACTGGCTTCCCCATCAAACCCTGTACTCACTGCTCTCCGTCTGACCATGCTGCTCCCCGTGTCTGCCTACAAAGCGGGCGCTGTCACTGACAGTGGCTTCCCCATCAAACCCTGTACTCACTGTGCTCCCCGTCTGACCATGCCGCTCCCGGTGTCTGCCTACACAGCGGGCGCTGTCGCTGGCTTCCCCATCAAACCCTTTACTGACTGTGCTCCCCGTCTTACCATGCTGCTCCCCGTGTCTGCCTTCAGAGCGGGCGCCGTCCCCGGTGTCTTCGTTTAACTCTGTACTTTCTCTGTTCCCCGTCTGAGTCCTACAGAGTCTGACTCCCTGTGCTCCCCGTGTCTGCCTGCAGAGCGGGCGCCGTCGCCGGTGGACCCATCCAGCTGCCCGATCTGCTGCGAGGCGCTGCGGCCTGGAGAGGTGGCCAGCCACTGCCGCGCAGAGCTGGAGCGACTGCTGCAACAGACCATCGGCGCCCGAGAGCGACACGACCGTGACGGACTCGGCTGGGAGGTAAGGTGCGGGGCGAGCGACACGACCGTGACGGCCTCGGCTGGGAGGTAGGTCTGAGAGACGAGCGACACGATTGTCACGGCCTCGGCTGGGAGGTGGGTGCGGGGCGAGCGACACGACCGTGACGGCCTCGGCTGGGAGGTAGGCGCGGGACGAGCCATACGGCCCCTCGGCTGGGGGGTGGGTGCGGGACGAACAACTGGGCCCCTCGGCTGGGAGGTAGGCGCGGGACGAGCCATACAGCCCCTCGGCTGGGAGGTGGGTGCGGGACGAACAACTCGGCCCCTCGGCTGGGAGGTAGGCGCGGGACGAGCCATACAGCCCCTCGGCTGGGAGGTGGGTGCGGGACGAACAACTCGGCCCCTCGGCTGGGAGGTAGGCGCGGGACGAGCCACACGGCCCCTCGGCTGGGAGGTGGGTGCGGGACGAACAACTCGGCCCCTCGGCTGGGAGGTAGGCGCGGGACGAGCCATACGGCCCCTCGGCTGGGAGGTGGGTGCGGGACGAACAACTCGGCCCCTCGGCTGGGAGGTAGGTCTGAGAGACGAGCGACACGGCCGCGACGGCCTCGGCTGGGAGGTAGGTCACCGGTCGGATATTGTTGCCCGTCAGTGGTCACAGGTCATCGGTTACCGGTCACAGCTCAGTGTGTCCAGTGTCCACCATACCTACTGTTGGTCGGAGATGTGGAACACCGCGCCCTCTCATTGACTGGCGACTTCATGTTTGTAGCTGATATCAATATATTTTATTTACTGACAGTACGTAACAATAATCAATCAACGCTCGGGTAATAAAGCTCTGAAGTGGTTTACAACAAAGATCAAAACAAAGATGTCCCATCGTGAAATCCGCTTTGCTCAACTGACGGGTGAATCAGTAGCCTCGTCTTTGATGCAATTGATTGAACGTAACGGAGGCTGAGGAGTGAGCCAGGACCGTTATTAACCTTCCGAATAAGACATTATGGTTTAAATGGTACTGTTTGCTTCTTTAGGGCGCGCGCTTGTTTCCATACATTTATTTCCTGTGATATTATCGGCGTTGTGAACATGTTTGTTCTCGTCGTTAGTTCCGGCCGCCGCGTGACCTCTCCCCCGCCCGCCGCCCGCCGCTCGCCTCTCGCTGCCGACACGGGCCCGCCGCCGGCCGCCCTCTGACATGTTTGCCGGCCTGTTGTCTCGTCAGCCGGCGGGCCGCAGGCAATCTTCGCGACACGATTTAAGCGAAACTGTTTAAAAGAAATCTCCTGGCAACTTGGCGACTCATTCTTTTAATCGCGCTATCCAATCTAAGCAAAAACCCGGACGCAGCCGGCGTTTTCTGTCGCGGAGAATCCCTTTGACATCGCAAAATAAGGCAAGCATAAAAGCGGACGCACCGTCTAACTGGTGCTTTTAATTAAAAAGAGCCGGGATCACGGACTCTGCCCTAACTAACAATTTCCCTCGTTTAATTGGAGCGTAATTGAAAGAACTTTGGAGAATTAGGGGATGATTATGAGTTTGTTTTCCGGAGCTTGCCAAATGAGCGTCAACCGAGGTGTAAAAGTCTGTGTTGGTGTAATGCCTCCTTCGAACCCTCCATTCCATGAATGCTTGGCCGGAGGGAGGCGTCGACATCCAACGTTTTAATGAGGCTGAACCGAGCGGTGGCTGGTGGGCGAAAGGGTTCGGTGCGGACCCGACACCCTTCAGAAAATCGGTGTGACGTTGAGAAAATCGGTGTTATGGTGAGAATAGAGGTAGTCGTTCTGTTTAGCAAGTGCCTTTTCCCTAAGCATTGACATGAAGCGTATGATGAGATCCGTGCTCAATGTGCTGCGTCCGTACTACGGTACTACATATCCAATTTGCAACTTTGGTCATGGCTCGAGCTGGTCGAGCTGCTATGACGGATTCCCTGCATCGCGCACACCGGTGATTTGGCGGCGCTATCGCTTTACAGCCCGGCCCCGTGTTTGTATACCTGTTGAAGCACACGTCCTCTGTTCCACACAGCTGTGTGCGTTGCCAGCGGTCGCTGATTGTGTTATACGTCGCCTAGTATCACATCTGTCCTGGCCATAAAGTGTCCGCATCTGCAGGACGACCGCTCGTAAAGCACCGGCGGACACTGTGGAGCTGCAGGTTTTACGGTCTCTCGGACACGGCCTGTCGCTGTTCCTGTCACCAGCGACGCCAGAAACGCCGCCCCGCCCCTGTCTGCCCATTGAGCGCAGTATCGCACCTTGCAGGCCGCCGCTGGGCGGTGAATAGGGAATGTCTGGCCGTTCAGTTCCCAGGTCCATAGCTCAGGAGGACGTGTCGGGTGGGGAGCTGGTGGAGGTTTATCACCGCCACTCTCTGTGTTCGAATACTTCAGCGCGGACGGCACCGACTAAAGGGTCACGGCGTGCGCCTATGTCGTTAAATGTGTATGCAATGCTGGGTTGACGCGGGAACGTCTCCGAACCGCGAACGCCATGGCATATTGGTGAAATTTCCTGCGACCGCCACATGAGACTGTCAGCGCACAACTTACGATGCACTAGCCTTTATTTTCAAAGCTATCTGCGCTTCTGAACCTGCGCTGCTTTCGGCTCCAACTTATGTTCTGCTTGTCCTCAACAGCCGGTGATTTGTTGTCATTGCTCCGTACCCTGAGCCCGTGCCCTGTGCGCGGTGAGTCCGTATCCCGTACCTCTGCGCCGTACGGTGCCAGCCGCCGGCCGCGGGTCCGTGCCACTCGATTACTCGCAAACACGTGCCGGGTAATGGTAATGGTTTTATTGAATTAAAGCCCGATTGTCGCCCGTGTTAATCTCGGCGGTCAAATGTGCCACTTTACGACGGCCCGGTGCATTTGGCTGGAGCCTTTCAATCGATTTTATTGTTTTATGGTTTTATGGCTGGCGGCTGGGCCGGCCGCTCAAATGGGTCCCCGTGTGCTCACCATCGGCCGGCCGACCGCTTTTAAAGACTAACAAGGGGATAAAGAGTTCCAAACACAATAACACTAAACCAATCAAACGCGGCCGCCTATAATTGTCGGCACTTCGTTATATCTTAACCATCTGCTCTGGGAAAGGCTGGCGGCTGGCGGCCGGCTCGGCTCGGCTCGGGCTGGCGTGGCGCTGGCCCGATGGCGGAGCGTCCTACCCCGGGGGTGTGTAACACGTGTCACCTGCAGTGGCGGGCTGGTAGGAGCGGGGAGAGATAAACTACACGGCGCCGGCGAGCCGTCAACACCTGCCGCCGGCCCCGCCCGCGGTCCGACGGGGCGGGCAGGCGCACCTGGCCGGCTCCCGACTCGGGGAGTCACAGCACATCCTGACTCTGGACCCACGATGTCCGACTCTAGGACTGTCCGCGGATCCAGAGATGCTGGATAGCGGCGGTTAGTGTATGTGATTGGCTCATTCGTCTTCGCCATCGCCACTCGATCAATGCATTTATCCGGACGGTAATGGGAATCAGCCACTCACGCTGCGATTTCATTTGAAGTCGTGCCGCCGCCTGGCCGGGAGGCTGAGGGCCGGTGGTCGAGCCGCCGCGCTGTGCGTGCTCTCTGTCCTCTGCGGTTTGTTGGGGTGCACCTTCCGGCCTCCACCTGATACTAACCGATCGGCCCGCTCCGGGCGCCGGAAACTGGGTGTGCCCCGCCGCCGGGCCGGTCTCCGACCTGGCCCGTAACCCCATCCGGTCTGCAGGAAACGCCGACTGCGTTTTACCGGGGCGGGAGCTGCGTATGAGAGAACGGGTGGCCTTTTTGTGCCGGTTTCTGTGGGAGTTTGATGCGGAAATACGCGACCTAGCTGAACTCTGCCTTGTTTTGTATGCTCCGAGCTTAGCTGACTCGGTTGTCAAAAGTGTTCTTTATTCCGTCATTGTGCTGAAATTGAAAGGCTTTTTGAGAAAGTTACTGCGTTATCTCACATATTGAAATTTTGAAAGTGTCACATTGCGATCATTTTTGCTATGGAGAATCTTGCCGTTTATTCGACTTCAGTGTCGAATACCGCATATATTTGAACTGTGAAGTCGTTGAATCGCCGGCAACTGTTATCAAAGTTTTTGATTGATAGGTATTACTTGTAGAATGCTTTCTGTTTCTGATAGTATTTTGCTCTCAGATAACTTTCATTTACTCCTTTATGCTTCTGGGATTAAAACGCTGAAATTCGGATAAATGATGATTTGGTGCATCATATTTGCGTCTGTTTTGCGTTGTTTAGAACCCCATATTCCCTTCAGCAAACGCAACTCATTGTGCTAAAAGATGATGTAAGATCATCTGGGCAGTATTGTTATTTCTCTGGTGCCCCAGGCGTGTAATTTGCCTGCGCCCGTGACCGTGCCGGGCTGGCGGCCGATTATTTACCGCGCTCCCTCTCTTTCATTGCACTCGAACCGGCCCCGTCCCCGGCGCGGCCAGGTGATATCGGACCGCTATTGTCAGCGCCCGGCCGGCTATTGGGAGAGTAAATCGGCCCCGGGCGACCAGTTGAGACGGACCCGACTGGCGGCCAATACAGACGCCACAGGCCGGACGGGCGCAGCCAATACAGCCCCATCAGGCCAGCCAGCTACCAGGCCGGACTGCACATCGATGGAGCGGGCTGACGAAAGATGAGCAGCAAATCACTGAGGATGCATGGCGCTCTTGGCATGACGGCCATGCTGCCGTGGGGTTGATGGTTAGGTACAACGCCTATCCAGACCCCTCTGATAAGAGTGGCGGCTCGCGGAGGCTGGCTGACCTCGACCAGCCGAGTTCCTGCGGTCGCTTGGGCTGTTTTCAAACAGCAACTCTATAAACCCGGTCAGAGACAGCTCAATGCCACTGCGGGTAGATGCGGGCGGCTTACGGAGGCGACACTGTGTAAAGGCGCTGTTTTATGATGCCGCCCGGATTTGGTGCGCGTGGCTGATAACAGACCATTCAGCGATGAGCGACTTCACGAGTTTGGAATGTCCTCTTCGATAGTTCAAGCTCTGGTGTTGCCTGCGCCACATCAAACAAGAAACAGACTCCAATTCAAATTCAAACAGCACATATTTCGATATTTGATTGCGGTGAGATGACTCTTGTTTGCTCACATTTCGGAAAAGCATGCTTCGAACAAACATTCTTACCTGCCAATCGACGTCTTGTCCGACCACCCTACCTTGCCGTCCATCGTCATTCGTTCGTTACGAACCTTTGTAAGGGGTTGCGGTTCTGCTGCCTGTGATGATCGCAGTATTGGCGTCTATGCTGACCAGTATGAACCCGTTGTTGACCCCGATACTGACCCTGTCGTTAACCCTGGCTGACCCGTGTGACCTATGTGCCCGGCAGACATACCACCGGGTGCGCAGTAACCGGCAGCTGCGACTCCGCTGTAAGATGCGCAAACGCCGCGGCGAGGACCCGAGCGACTGCGGCGGCGGCTGCGGGCCGGACCGCGCCGACCAGCAGCACTCGACCCGGCTGGCGCCACCGGCCAAGGTAACGTCCGACGAGACACGCCAGGCGGCCTACTGGGCACACCACTATTTTTCGTCAGCCTGCTGTAGTATGATGACTGGCGGTCTCGATATTTTTGACTTACATATGCCTTGGCTTGTTTTATAGTCATGCTTCAGTTAATTGCTGTTTAGGGTCGTTTTCTGTCCGTCTGCGTCTGGCTGTGTCTCAGTACCCCGGCCTCTAACCGTGCCTTCCCTCCCCGCAGCGCCCTGCCACGGCGCTGGGCGGCGCCGCGGTCCCGGCCAGCCCCGGGAAGCCGGCGCCGGCCGTCGCGCCCGACGATGACGAGGAGGTGGATGTGCTGGGAGACGCCGACTGTAACGGCGGCGCCCCGGCCGGCGGCGGTGGGCCGGCGGCCGACTGGCGGCGGCCCAGGGACGACTCGGGCGCCACAGACCTGCGGACCACCGGTCAGTGAGGGACCAACCGAGGGGAGGGGGCGCCACAGACCTGCGGACCACCGGTCAGTGAGGTGACCTACCGAGGGGAGGGGGCGCCACCGACCTGCGGACCACCGGTCAGTGAGGGGACCTACCGAGGGGAGGGGGCGCCACCGACCTGCGTATGACTGGTCAGTGAGGGAAGCAGCGGGGATAGTGGAGCTTCAGGGCGGTGTGCTGGAGCTGGGATGATGCGACTTTCTGGGAGTTAAGACTGAGCTGCTGAACGTTTTGAGTCAACAACGCCGTGTCCCGGGCCAGGCCTATGGACATAGTGGCCCGCTCCAGTCCTGGGTGCGATGATTATCTGACTCACCTACTGAGTGAGTTAGCGAGTTACTGACTTTCTGACCCTTGTCTCTGCCCAGGTGTGGACGTGGCGGCCCGCGCCAGCCCCGTGTATGAGGACGGTGTGCCGGACACCACAGCAGAGAAGGGCTCCGCGACCAGGTCAGTCGTAAAACATTTCTGGACAGCACTTCTCTCTTCAGTACCGGCGCTGTGTGACCCGTCCAGCTAAACTTAACTTGTTCTGTGGTGTTGCCGTTCTTACTTGGCTGGCGTTACCTTTTTTGTGACAAAGCCTCTCAGTCCCAATAACAGGGACAGCTACAATATCAAGCCTCATAGCTTTGACGGGTTCCCCTCAGCCCCTTCCCCCTGCCGACAGTGCCCTGACCTTCCCTGTATGTGTGTGTATTTCAGTGACCCGTCGGCGCCACTGGCCGCTGAGCTGGAGCGGCTGCGCGCCCAGCTGGCGGCGCTGGAGCACGAGACGAGCCGGTACCGGTGCGGCGTGTGCAGTCGCGCCTTCCGCCAGCCGCTGGTCTCCACACACTGCTGGCACGTGCACTGCACGCCCTGCTGGAACGCCGCGCTGGTCAGTACGGGTGCGGCGCCGCGCAGAAGGGTTCCCAGCTCAGCGGCTTCACCGCTACTTAAGTGTTAGTCGTCGTAACAAGTAATCTTTATGGTCGTGACCAGACTGTTGGTGGACTTAACATCAAGGGAAGGACGGAAGTCTTAAAAGCTGGATTACTGACTTATAACGCACTTTGCCAAATGTTAAACGGATAAAAAATAATCGTTGACTTAGGATGGTGAGTTAAGCTCGCCGAAGTAATGGCAGAAGCTTTTTTCTCCCTGGCTCGCCCTGTGTGTCATGCGTGCCTGTCTTTGCGCTGACCACCCCTCCTCTCCGTTTCAGGGCGCCGACCGGCGGTGTCCTCAGTGCAGTGTCCACGTGGACGCCGACGACTTGAACGCCATACATGTCTAGCTTCCTAGTCCCGATGGCCACGTGCGGCACCATCACGTGCCGGGCGCGCACGTGCATACGAGCTGATGTTGTAGACCCTTTACATACACTTGACTGATGTGTGTGAGCACATAGACACACATGCGCACATGATCGTTTGTCGGGTCCGTTAGATTTCCCTATTTGTCCAAATCGCACGGTGCCAAGATATTGTTCAGGGCAACACATCCAGACCACCCCGAACTCTGTAGCAGCCCGGGACGCCAGTCTGGTTTCGCCGCACACAGGTGTGCTGGCGTGCGGCGGTTCCGATCGCGGGTCGACAGGGTGTCGCCCGCCGGCCGCCATTCCGACGAGTGGGGGGCGGACTTCGTCCGCCTCTGACGGGGTTCTCGCCGCCCCATGTCGTTCCCCAGGAGCTTCTCACACTGTTACACTGTATGTGCTAGGTCTGGACTCGTGTAAAGTCGCCGGTGTTATATCCAGTCACTCGCAGTGTCACTGCGGCCGTTCGTGGTACACGTGTACCCTGCGCTGTTGCCACTGATGCGGCCAGTATCGGCAGTGAGTCACACGAGGCGCGGGCCGCCGGAGAATATACTGCACAGTACCGTGCCGTGCTGCTCGGCAGCTCAGGCGTAGTAGCCGAGTCCGCGCTGTGCTGTCTTATCTGGCTGGTCTGGTGCAGCTCCAGGCGCGGCGGGTGCGCCGGGCGCGCCGCTGGAATGGTCAGTATGGGAGCGAGGTATGAGCGCAGGCTCCCCTGTTGTGTGGTCAGTATGGGAGCGAGGTATTGGCGCGGGCTCCCCTGTTGTGTGGTCAGTATGGGAGCCAGGTATGAGCCGCCGCAGGACTCCCCTGTTGTGTGTTGATGTTACCCGCCGCAGCGGGCTGATCCTATTCGTGCCAAAGACAGTTGTTCTGTGCAGTGGTCCGTTTGAGAGCGTGTGTGCGTGTGCGGCCTCCATAAAGAGCTCACCATTCCCGTGCTACTTGGCGTTGTGCGTGCGTGGTGTATGTGTGCTTAATGTACAAAGTAATCCAGAATACTACGGTACAACCCTGACGCTGAGTCTGGATGGGCGGTGCGGGGAGAACTGGGGTCAGTTGGCGCTTGGGGAGGGTCACAGGCGGGCTGAGCGTGCTGAACCAGATGCCGCAGTCAGGGGGAGGAGGTTGGATACGATTGAACTAAAGGCTGGGCGACTCGAGCATCGTAGTGACACCGATGAATTAGGAGCCTTTGATCTGATTGAGAATTGAGCCGTTCTAAAAGTTAAAGCGGCCATAATTCGACTGATTGGCCGATTGTAGAAAAATCCTGTTCGCTAATCGCTACCTAGACCACACAAATGGAATCCGTTTTGTATACACCTTTATTACCATCGTAACAAGCTGTCTACGCTATTTACCGCGGCGATTCTTTTGGACACAACTCCCGTTCAAAATAAGATCCCAATAGCAGCACACCGGTCACCGGCGTGGCGCTCCGCACGGAGATACATCCCAGATCACATCCGCTCCTCACCGGGCCGCGAGGCGTCCTCGGGTACCCGGCCGGTGTTATTCTCAGACGCCCACCGCCCACCGTACTCTCCCAGTGGCAGCTCGTTCCGAGCGCCAGCAGCGGTGCGGCAGGGTCGGGCGAGACGGAACTGAGGCACTGCCGAGAACACATTTCAGAGAATGTATGGTAGGTATCACCAGGATCGGCGCCGCCAGATATACTCTATGCTATAGCGCCGTCACACACGTCAGCACGCGACACCGGCCACTCTAAATGTGAACTATGACATCATCGCACGACGCACGTCAGTGCCTGACGTCATCGACCAGCCTCAGGATGGGATGTATTGACATCTCCATTCTCCAGTCATGACAGGGGCTCGCCGCTGCAGTCACCATCAGTCAGTCTTTTGACGTCACAGGCTGCACCGTGTGACGTTATATCCCACACCATGGCGTCACCGATCCGCATCGTGTGATGTGACATCACATTCCGCATCACGCGACGTCACCAGTCCTTCAGATGGCAGTTGTTGCGGAGTCTTAGAGTGTCTTGGTACCGGCGTCGCCCGGCATGCTGCCCGCCTGGCCCTTGCCCAGGTTGACCTCGTTCAGGCAAACCCACTTGCCCTCCAGAGTCTCCTTCCACAGGCTCGCCTGAGGACAAAGAGACGACGGGTCAGAGCACTGGGGACTGAGGGGGCGCCAGCTGAGACCACTGGGGACCGAGAGAACGAGTCAGAGCAATGTGGACCGAAAGAACGAGTTATAGCACTGCAGATGGAGAACATGGGTCAGGACAACGCGGAAATAGGGGACACGGGTCAGAGCACTGGACGGGCGGAACGGATGTAAATTGTAACTAATATAGACCGGTAAGAGTACAGGCTATCTGCGATCGTTCAATACATGCATCACACATGCTCATGAAAGTAATAAAGTGCAATCGAGAGCTCCCTCCCAGCCCGCTCCTCTCATAGATCCACCAGTCTCCGGACGGACGGCCCCCACCCCACCACCCGTCGGTAACCTAGCCGCAAACACCTCCACCCGGCCGTCGGTACCTTGTTCGGTACCGTTGTTACCCCTGGCCCGCTGTCCGTCGGCCCGTACCTTGTTGTCGCCGCCGCTGACGGCCAGGATGTTGCCGGTGACGGCCCAGCTGACGTGCCAGATGACGTCGCTGAAGGTGGGCAGCTCGTGCGGCGTCCAGGCCGTGCCCGTGCCGTCGTTGGACCAGATGATGACGCGCCGGTCCTGCGAGCAGCTGGCGATCAGCTGCCGTTTGAGGCCCACCGAGGGCGCCCAAGCCACGTCGCGCACCCAGTCCGAGTGGGCGTCCAGTTTGGCCTCCTCCACCCACTGGTCGTCCTCCTCCCTGGCAGAGAGCGGACACACAGACCGGTCAGCACGCCCTAGGCCCGCGCACGGATACATCGGCCAGTGGGCGACAGGCCCTCAGTCCTCACCCGTACTTAGACAAATGAAAGGGAACACACTCTGTTGACCACTCTAAACAGTGCTGTTGTATATTCTAAAATAAGGAATTTTAGGTAAAAAAAGCGAAATGTCACTCAGGCTTGTGCACATCTAGCATTCGGGAGCATGAACGAATCGTACCTCCAGATTTTGACGAGGTTGTCGCAGCCGCCGGAGACGAATCGTTTGGTGACCTTCTGCGGCTGGCCCTCCAGGACGCTGCCGGCCGACACCTCGGGCGCCCAGCTGACGGCGTTACAGCCGATCTGAGGAGGATGGAGTCGGGTGTGACCGGTCAGTCTACAGTGGCGGCAGTGCTCGACGGCGGGTCAGCCGCCTTCGACCGCACCATGTCAGGGAGCCGCGTTTATTGGATATGTTATACCAAACAGTACGATTATTCAGTAACTATCTGGTACATTGCAAGGCATCCTCCAATGGCAAGGTAACGCCCCTAGGCACACAAAAACTTGTTGACTGGGAAGACATTCACAAAAATGCGTGATAAGTATCATGTGCAACATTATCTGTCAATCACGGAATCGTGAGCTTGGCAGTGGGAAGCTGATAACGAATGCAAATATCAGGACGAACCTGATTGGATTGAGAAGGCTGACTCCTCCCAGCACTCGTAGTGAAAGGAATTGAGGATCTCTGAAACCAGGATCGACCGTTTTCAGGCAGGATGTGCCAACGGAGAGACAGCGCACGAGCAGAGCTGATATCAACCTCCATAGAGCACATGCTTACTAAACTTATTCAAATAATGGCTTATTGCGTTTCCAGTGTCCGGCCGCCTCAAATACCCTCAGACCTCTAGCCATCTACTTGTTCCTCCTCCCCCCCCCCCCATGCAATCCATTCGAGACACACCGTGTGGGCGTTGTTGATCTTCTTGAAGTCCCAGGTGCCGGCGGCCGTGTAGGAGACGACGGACACGGAGCCGTCCGAGCTGCAGCAGACCAGCACCAGGCCCAGCTCGTACGGAGCCCAGCACACAGAGTTCACCGACGAGTCGTGGCTGGCGTGCTCGTGCAGCTTGCTCCAGCGGCCGCCCGTCTCCTTCCAGATGATGACGCGGCGGTCGTAGGAGCACGACGCAAGAATCGGCCCGTACATGGGGTGCGCCCAGGCCACCTGCCACACCTGGCGGCGCCGACATACGGATAGATGGTCAGAGGGCTGTCGCAAGACGCGGACAGCCGCGGGTCAAGGGGTGTCACACCGGAGTAAGTACAATATCGCCGCCATTTGGGAGCACCCTTGAGTCGCGTTTCCAACCTCTCTAAATCATCCCCACACTTCACGGCTCTGCATCTACCCATTCACACTGACGCCCCACCCCACTGACCGGTCCCTGGCTCCCTGGTGCCAGCCACTGACCGGCCCCCGGTACCGCCGCGCACGACAGGCCCTGAAGCTCGATACCGACCGGCCCCTGGTGCCCGCCATTGACCGGTGCCTGGTGCCCGCCATTGACCGGTGCCTGGTGCCCGCCACTGACCGGTTCCTGGTGCCACCCCGTGCCACTGACCGGCCCCTGGTGCCCGCCCCGTGCCACTGACCGGTCCCTGGTGTTCGCGCAGCTCGGCCTCCAGCGTCTGACTGCCGTTCCGCACGCTGAACACGCGCACTGTGGCGTCCGATGAGCACGTGGCCAGACGCGTGCCGTAGAAGTCGATCTGCGCGTCATGCTGAGGAAGCAGAGCGTTTGTTGGTCAGCGAGGCAACATTCGAAACATTCGTATTCGTAACGAGGCAACATTCGTTACGGAATTTGCGAGTTAAATAATGGCTACTAAATCAAACGCTAACGACATTGGTTATTACTGAGCGTTTACAAACCGTTTTACCAGCAGAAAAAATAACCGACTGCCGGATTTTTTTTTTTTTGGCCTTTAGACCGCTTCACATACGGAGCGTAAACGCGCTTGGCACGTAAGCGAATAGGGCTTTACCGTTTACGCTCCGTATGTGCAGCGGTCTATAGTAAAAAAAAAATCCGACAGACGGCTATTTTTCTGTTGGAACGGGTCTCTGCACGACTTATTGCAGCACAAGAAGTTAGCGAGGAGAGGAGTTCAGTTTCCTCGTACTTACAATCATGTCTTCATGTCCGGTATCAACGGTACTGATGAGAGACACCTGGAAAACAAAGTCATGTGTCATTTTTGTCCAAGCGCGTTCCCAAAACCACTACACCTCACCGATCTCACATATGGAGACTGCCGAGGTCAGGTTAGGTCAGGTCAGATTAGATCTTTTTTAGCGTGAATACTTACCACTTCTGTCTTTACTCCTTACGTACTTACTCGCTTCCGTACTTTTGCGTACCCATTTTTGACGTAGGTACAGTCCACAGCATAATTTGCGGTTTCAGTCCTGGGTATGTTCTGCTCCTGACGCTTAGGAATGATTAGCCAGACCACCCGCAGGTGCTTGGTGGAACTCATTAGTCATAGGTAAATGTCACGATACAGTGAACAGTCCAGGGAGTGGGAGTCCGGTGCAATGAATCTCAGTATCCGTGCAAGAGGCCTCCACCAGCATAGGTGGCGCTTCACAGCACATGAGGATAAACGCGAGGTAGATGGCGTTAGAAGGCGCAGTAAATAGCTCGTTAGCCTGTAGTCGCATTTCTCCATATTTAATTGTTTTTAAGCATGCCATTCGATAACATAATTATTTTTTAGGTTATCTATTTTTAAGGAAATATGGCCAAACGGACATCAAGCAGAGCTGCTTCATGAAACAGCGGGACCAGCAAGAACAAGTACCAATCTTATCATCTTGCCCACCACTATCATTGACCATGTATACATACATGGCGCTTTAGAGACAATTATTGGAGGAGTGAAAAACGTTGGCCGTTCTTGTTTGCCTGGGATAAAAAGAATATTACAAACTTTCGGGCTCTATTTTGTGTAATTTTAGGCTCTTAATTAACATGGGAAGAAGCAAAGCAGCACTTGCCATACGGTTTGGCTACCACGGTTGTGCGAATCGACCATTCTTCCACATTCAGCTTCAGAAGGTAGGTTGGCAAATTCATCAGTAAACATCAACATCTTACATCGATTGAAAATCAATGTCTGAAAGCATTAAAGGGACTATCCCACCTTCTAAAATGTTGTTAAAACCAGTCAAATTGTGCCCGACTTTATAGATTGGATGACCAGGAACACGGTTCTGGCATTTTTCATTAAACATCTTAGGCTTCCCATATTCCAAACACAAACTTTCAAATATGTGACGATAAATATGTGACTTTTTTTTTGCTATACACAGCTTATGTTTTGCAAATGTTAGGCAGACTTGTTAAGAACTGGATACCATCAGCTGGCTGGCCAGCTGACAACATATGATAGACGTATATAAATATAAGCATTGTACTAGATGGACATACACAAAAATAGCACTAAAAGGGAAATTAATGGATAGATATTTAGTCTTTTATATCTAGCATTGATATATGCCAAGCTTTGCTAGCGCCATCATACGGCGCTAGCTGGCAAATAATCCTTTTAATAGTATGGCCCATCTGAGGGACTCACTTATAACCTTTTTAATGTGATGTTCATTTGTTAATATATTGATCATCAGAACTTAGCTTCCATTTTGATATAGCACACTGACACTGCTTTTGATGACTTAACTTTTTATTTTGTGCCTCATCTATCTTGTATATTAAATCTAATCTAAGGATCATAATTGTTGTGATAACTGCAAGTTCGAACATCCAGAAGTGTAGTACCTACCTAATGCATTGATTCATAAATGCTCTGTGCCACTAGATCCTGTGGGAGAACAGCTTCCTACGTTCTGCAGTGCAACAGTTGATGAATAATCTTTAAATGGGCTGTGAACCAGCCTTAACTGATTGCAATAAATACAGCTGGTACCCAAATCTATAGCCAGCACCTCCCACTCATTAAACATCCACACAAAATCATTTTGGAATTTTCTGAAGAAGCTCAAATAATTTTGATGCATCAGTATCATCTGAACAAAATTATCTTTCGAATCTGCCTGTGCCTTCATATTTTCCTTCGCTTTATGGAGTATCAACGCCAGGTCAGTTCCCCAATGTGACAGTGTTTCCCGGGCTGTGCACAGAAGCGTCAGGACCGCGCCGGGCCTGTGATTGAGCAGCTCGGCGTGTACGATCCGATGCCCAACATCAACAACGAGCGCCTCGTGTCCATCAACTTCGACCGCGTGCGCCACTGGCTCGGTCAGAACAAGACGGTCGAGATCACGCCTGCCGTGCAACAGCTATTCGGTGAGAGCCCGGTCGGGGAGTCGTGGTCACAGCCACGAAACTAATGAAACATGAAAACTGCATTATGGAAGAATGAAGATACCGTTACATCTTGATGCTTTAGATTAGCCGTCAAACATTTCAAACACTGGTATCACGAACGCAGCTAACTTGTGTTTCCGTTGCAGGGCTCGTCGGTTTCTTCCCGGTCCACCCCAGATCCTACATACAGGCGTGGAGAAACAGGCGTGAACAAGAAACGGCAAAACAAGAAGCAGAAAGCGGAGAGGTGAAAGGCTGAACATTTTCATTTGATAACAGCCATTGGGTACTTGTGTAGTGAACTGTCATCTATTGAAATGTTAAATGACCAAATATATCTTGTGATTGAAACTCATTCCATTTCCGTTCAAAACGCATAATTTTTACCTCTTTGTGCCATTCTTGCACACGCACAGCTCTTAACAAGCCAAAATACAAACGGACCATAAGCTGACACTTCCTTCTCATTTAACAACAGTATCAACAGTCTAGTGCAATAATTACTGGCTATCTACATTTGATTTGCTTCCCCCTCCCCCCCCCAAAAAAAAACACACACACACACAAACCTGCTTACAGAAGTGTTTTTGGGTCCTTGGAAAAGCATTAAATCGCATAACACATGCTAGCTTAACATCAACAACTATTGTGCACTGGCCCCTAGAAAGGCCTCTAAAGACTTTTTACAAAACTCAAGACTCAAAAGACTTTTTGGGTATCATATAAGTGTTACCTTGAACCATAAAATAAGTGCAATGACACATTCCTTTGAGTCACCTAATTTCATTACGGAGCGAGCGAAGCGAGCGGAGTCTTTCCTTAGATTAACGGAAATTTCTGAGTATGAGCGGCCGGCCGGCCGTGCGGACGCTTTTGCGAGGCTTATATCTCAGCAACCACTTGACCGATTTACATGCGGTAGGTAATTTTTGTAGGGTAGCTTCATTCCTTCTACCAAGTATTGGACTATTCCCAATGCATGTGGGTGACCCCTTATGCACGTGCCATGTGCAAAACGAAGAGGTGTCAGTTTTGCAATTGTTGCAATATCTCGGTAACTACTTGGCCGATTGCGCTTAAAGTTGGCATGTAGGTAGGCACCCACTAGGCACTGCATATCCATGTGCCAGAGTTGGGGTGCTGCTGCACGTGCGCACGTGCAGGAGTCGTTTCCAAATCTCGAGAACGGCTCGACCGATTGCGCTCAAATTTGGTACACAGTTAGGGACCGGTTAGTAGGGTGCCGTGCACAAGTCAGTTGGACCCATTTGCACGTGCGCACGTGCAGGGTGCCGCTTCCAGATCTCGAGAACGGCTGGGCCGATTGTGCCCAAATTTGGCACATCGCTAGAGACCGGTTAGTAGGGTGCCGTGCACAAGTCAGTTGGAGGTACCCCCTCGAAATTCCGCACGTGCAAGGCTCACCCTCTCGCTCGCTCCGTTAGTCGCCCCAAAAGGCGTTATACTGGTTAGGTACAGTCCACAGCAGAAGTAATGTGGGGTTTCAGTAATGGGTATGTTCTGCTTCTGAAGCTTAGGAACGATTAGCCAGACTACAATGAAACTTTGAATGTAGCTTATGTGTATCGTCACCCTTGCAGCTGCAACTTTAGCTACTGACATCTTCTTTTCGATCACTCCGCATTAAACAAACGCCAGTCAAAGCCAACCGTTGACATTGGTAAAACCCTACATTACTTTAGCGGTGGGCTGTACCTACTTAATTCTACTCGTATCAGTTATAGTCGATAACAAAATAGCCCAAAACCTGTGGAAATCAATATCAGGCGTCTACGTAATGATGCTGCTGGATACATACCGGTGTATGAAGCAAACACCAACTATCATACATCACTTGGTAAGAAAAATAACACTACAGACCACAACATTTATATTTCATCCCAAAGGTAACTTACCATTGTTGCTTATATTGAAGTGTAGGTCCAGCTATCTTGAAATGTTCTATTTCTTCAGAATCTGTAACCAGACCTTGATATCAGGTATGAGGTACACTGTAAACAATGTACACAAGGTATGCTTAACTGAGACGGCAATACCAGAAGATAAGCGTTGTTATGTCTACTTAAAATCAACATTAACTTTGATTAGACTTTGAACATGGCACAATCCTTTAGCACTGGTTAATTGGGTACTTACTACTTTCATCAAACTAGTTTGGCTGCTGGTTTAACATTTTATCTTATCCTTATTACCTAAAAAGGAACAGTTGATCCAATTTACAAGGACCACAGACACAGACATCCTGAAATTCATTGAAGTAAAGTAACCATATGGAAAGCCGGTAATTTCTCACCAATATTTCATGTTGATTTACATGCCCAAAATTATATGACATTGATGGGCAAATTTTGCTGACACCAATCTTCATTAGTTATGATTTTATGTAAAACTTCTGCATTGGGTCAAATTGAGGCTATGACGTGCCAGATTAGGTTTGGCCAGGTTAAGTTAAGTAATGCTAAGATTATTTCATTTATTCTGGTTGATAACAATCATGCAAAGAATTATCCAGATAAACATTTGTCCAGGAATCGTAATATCAAGACCGTAGTTTCGTGCAACTTTGACCACCAAGGGCAACTTTGGCCCACTCCTGGAAAACTTATTTGTTTCGCTGTAAGGTATTACACTGAAGGGAAAGTGGGGTAAGCCAGTCAGGGTAGGCTTCCCTGACCGTTTCACCCACTTTCCCTAAGTGTAAAAAGTTATGGGCAAAATAAATTAGTTTTCCAGGCGTGGGCCAAAGTTGCCCTTGACCAGTCTGCAAACTATGGCAATTTCGACGAGATCTCGACGGTGGGGGCTTGTTCGGCTAGTGCGGAATTGGTGCGGTGCGGAAAGTTGATTTTGGCTTGGTGCGGTGTGTATTTAGTGTAGTGCTGTGCGGAATTGGCTTAGTGACTGACATGACAGACCATACGAGATAGATTAAGAAAATTGAAGAAAAAAACATTGTTGGAGCTTCGACGTGTACTTCAGTGTGCTCTCGGGTCTATTTGAGTGTGCGGTGGTCAGAACGGACTGTGCCAGCACTGGTGGTCCCATCAATCACGTGGGTCGCTCGCAAGTTCGCACTCTTCACTTTGTTACAACACGAAACGCACCACTCGGCTCTGAGAGGCGCCGGCGGTAGAGTGAGAGAGATGAGCAGGGCGATGGGACTGGGAGGGACTCGGAGATGTGCACGGCCGATGGCATGGCTACATCACCGCTCCACCGCTTCATAGGGTGACAGGGTCCATGCGAATGATGTATCGGGTATGCTCCGTGTTCGACGCAGCTAATAAGTTGCATCGAAAGAATCTAAGGTTGTTGCATTCCGCAGCATTCGTAAACGAGATGCGCTCGGCTCATGTGAGAGTTTAGCATTGTCCCTCGGTGGTAGGGCGAAATGCACATGGCTGATGGCACTATCAGGCTTTGAGGACCACCACTTTGCCGCGGCTAAGTGGTCAAATCCACTGTGAATGACTTGCCAATCAGATTTGTTGTACGATACAAATGTTGACCCAACGAAAGACGCCGAAAATGTATTCATGAGATGATTCCATGTTTAGCCATTAATATCTTTATTTTTATAACTGGGTATATGTTGCCTGTCCCGTAGCTCAGTAATTGGTAGAGCATTGGACTCCCGGTAGTGAGAGCCCGGGTTCGAGACGCTCCGGCGCTCGATATTTGAGACTCCTGACGGGATGGTCTGTGGTTGGTGGGAGTAGCCGCAGCCAGTTGAAGTCAGTTGAGACTTGAGTGGGACAGGCCGTGTCCGGCTTTGAAGGGCACGTTAAACTTTGGCATATAAATTCTCCCGATACCCGGAATTGCGCGATCGGATGGTAGGGGTCGGGGTCTACACAAGAAGCTCTGCTTAGCGTGGGCTCCGGCTCTGTCAATCCGTTCATTCAAACATTCGAGCTAAATTTATAAGAAAAAATGTTGTCAAGCCATTTAGCTACATGGTGTTGTCACTAAATGGGGCCATCATGGTACATCGCACGATAATCACCTTGAAAGAATCATCAGGGGCGGGTACTGAATGAAGTTCTTGTATTGGTATGGCAATGCTTTTTGTTTGAATTGTGTGGTACATAGGTATTTCTCATTTTGTTTCCATAGAACCGAGAGGGCAGGCTTGCGGCTCATGTCACTAATTGAGGTCAGTGCACATGTTAACTGGTAATTTTTTGGTATGGTGCGGTTTATGTATTCTTTGAAGGTTTTGGTGCGGCTTATCTGGTTCTGGTTCTTTCTGAAGGGTTGGTGCAGATTTTGAACTTGAGCCAGTGCGCCTCATCAACCTATGAACCATACTTTGCAGTATGGGCCCTTAGTGGTCAAAGTAGCACGAAACTACAGCATCAATAGAACATGATGCATGACATGTCAACATGTTATGCATCATGATGTGTCTGATGCATGCATCAACTTGTTCCCATATCAATATTAGCATGCCATTTTGAACGTCTGAAACGACGGCAACGGAAAAAAAAACATTCAGTACTAATTAGACTTACCTGAATAAATGGGCGTGACCCGAACCCAAGCATTCAAACCGAAAAATCTAGCCAATATTTGGACCTATTGCTTTATCAGCCGGTGGCCTGTGATGATAAACGGACTCGTGGCTAGTGTTTTTGTAAATGCGGCAAAATATCGCGCCAAAAATGTATAGGTCGGTTTTAGTTCCACGTAGCGAGGAAAAATATAAAAATATTTTGATTTTCAATTGATACTTCTCCACAAAATTTGTTTTAGTGCCAGATAAAAAATTAAAAATGTTGCGTTTGGCTACTGATAAATAAATCATCAAGCTTTGGAGGGCATCACGTGGTGTCCAATCGAAATATTGCGTAATAATTCGCTCGAATTCTGTAGCCAGCTGACAACTTTGGACGAATGCGCTACCACTTATTTATGCATTACGGGTACCCCTATTGTTTGTGTACTCGTCACTCAGCTGTTGTGGGATGGGGGCAGGGGGGTGTCACTACTTTGCTTCGCCATAGGTCCAGTACTGATGTCATTGGTTTCGGACCCGGTGACGTCAGTGCTGGCTACATCCGGGAACTTCTTGCACTTGGTTCTCATTAGAGGTGGCCATATTGTTTTGTCCCGTGACGACACATTTGCGTCACTGAGTCCGAAACTGGCTGTAAACAAATCGCTCAGTGTCGCTACCTCCTATATATGGCCTTGGATGGGGGTTTTGTGTTGGTGTGGATTTATATTGATATTGTGCGGGGATTAATTGATGAACTTATATAGTCTTGAATTGATGTGCTTAGGAATTGCTTAGGAAGAACTTGGGCTTAAAATTATTGAAGTTGTGTATACCTTTCTGGCTCCTTCATGTTCACACTGGGTAAATTCGGCTTTCATTTTTGTTTTGGCACTCATGTGCAAGGCTGTACGTTTTATATGCCAGTGATTGGTGTAAAGTCGAACTCTTCCTCAGCTGAAAGTCAGAGTCCATGCCTATGCTAATTGCTATTAGCTATTGTTTGCTTTGTCCACAAGTGTCTGACTGGATATTTTTTGTGCACAAGTTTTCATTTTTCAAACAGTTCTCATGAGCTGAACCATTAAGTCATTAGATATTAAACCAACTTTTCTTGACAAATCAAATTTGTCAAATTTGATTCATTTTTTGAAATACAAAAGGGTATTTCAAAAAATGAAATACCCTTTTGGTTTGTGACTTGTGTTCCATCATCTGCTAATTAATTTTCTTTTTCCTTCAGGCATTTTGTAATTGCTAATAATGTCTATGTTCAAGTCAGCCTTAAATTATTTCAATGATTCTAGTACAGTGCAAAACAATGAATTTGTTGGGCAAGTCGTGGAACTTGGGAACGCCAAGATGCGTGTTAAGAAGCAGATTGGAGAAGGTAAGTGGGAGACTTACCTTCATGCTTAGACATCTGTTGAGTTGTCCATTTACCACCTGCTGTGCTGTGCATTTTATGTACAGCTTTTAGGAAAGGCAGACTCCTGGCCTTGGTCTTAATCAATGTGTTTTACATGAATCTTGAATGGCTATGCTATTTAACTTTTGACAATTAGTAGACTGTGATATGCCTTTCATGATAACTGAAATTGCCTGTTTAAATTCCAAATGATCTGATACATGTTGCAACTTCTTTTCACATTTTCATTTCAGGTGGATTTGCTTTTGTTTATGTCGCTCAAGAAGTAACCAGTGGGAAATATTTTGCCCTGAAGCGCCTGCTCAGCTCTGATGCTGATGTAGACAAGGTTATAAGACAAGAGATTGGGTTACTTGTATCCTTGTGAGTGTTGACAGTATAAGCAAATTTAGGCCTTTAAGTGGTTGGTTGCAGTTGTATGTTTTCATTGATGTTCAGTTATTTTGATCAGATCAGGTTCAGTTACTTTCGTCAGTGATTAAGTAATGTCCTGGCTCAGCATGTGTAGGTAAAATGTCAAATGTCATCAGGTAGCTTTTCTGTTTTCAACATCATAAATGGACAAGAACTTGATGAGTGGTCTAGTTACTCAGCTTCTGAGTGCTAAGTGGGTAGCTAGACCAATGTGAAATAAGTTTTAAGAATGATTGAGTGAACAGTTTGCTGAACAGTTACTGGCTTTGTCAGGACTATGCTGTTTCCTATCATGTTGACAGTTTGTAAGCATTGTCTGGCTAGGACTTGCATAAAACTCTAGGTATGTTTTGTGAAAGTTACTTCAATCATGTTGTATATGCCAAGTCCAATTTCCTTAGCAGTATGCTCAGAAAAAGCTGTCAGGCCATCCCAACATCATCCGCTACCTGACTGCTGCTGCCATCGACAAGTCTCAGTCTGGCCATGGCCGGAATGAGTATCTGGTTGTCACAGAACTCTGCACAGGTTTGTGTTGCCTTATCTGTCTGAAAATTATTTTTGCCCATTCCTGGATTCTGCAAGCATTATCTTACTCAGTGTTTGTGTTTGGAATTTGATACTTAATTGGGAAAGACACTTAAATGTTCTTTTTATTTCGATTTATAGTTACATGATTATTATACTAATAAAATTGAGGAACTGATTGTATTTTCGGTGGCCTAGTTACTGTTGTAGCTGCAATTCTGCTCTGTGATGTTGGCTGGTTTAAGGCTAATGTCCCCTGGTTCCCTGAAAGTGTCATTTATTGTGTGGTGCTTATGTTGTGTTTACCCTTCCTTCTTGGCACACTCCGGCTGCCTCTGCAGGTGGCAACATGGTGGACGTGCTGCGCCTGGCGGGCCGCGCTCTGCCCGCCGACCAGGTCTGCCAGATCATGTACCAGACGTGCAAGGCCGTCCAGCACCTGCACAGCCAGGAGCCGTGCGTGCTGCACCGCGACCTGAAGGTCGGTCGATCGGGGAGCACGGGGAGCTGCTACAGCACCGGGATGTCGTGAATCTGATGTCTGATAATATGCTATAACTGGCCTTAGTTAATAGCTTAATTGGGACTCTCATTCACAAGAAATTGTGCGGGTTGGAGCTTTCGAATTGTATTACAATTTTTCGTCAGCGTGTCGTAACCGATCTCGGGGTTATCGGCCTCAAAATGACCACTGGCCATAATTGTTTGGGGTGTTAGCAACAAAGAGTTGTGTGTTTAAGTGGTGTGATCTGTCTCTATATTGCGTGTTCATTTGCTCTAACTCTGGATCTGTCTCTATATTGCGTGTTCATTTGCTCTAACTCTGGATTGCTGCTACCTCAGATCGAGAACCTGCTGATCGGCGACGACGGTCTGATCAAGCTGTGCGACTTTGGCTCGGCCACCACTCAGATGCACTACCCGGACCCGTCTTGGTCGGCCATCCAGCGCTCTCTGCTGGAAGACGAGGTAATGGCGTCGTCATCCCGGCAATGCCTGCTGTCAGAGGACGGTCCTGTTCCCTCCCCTACCCCGCCTGTCGTACCGTCTCGCCGCTTCGCCCGGCACTGACCCTCCCCTCGGCGCCCGGCAGATGGCCAAGCACACGACACCGATGTACCGGGCGCCCGAGATGCTCGACACGTGGAACAACCACCGGATCGACACGCAGGCCGACATCTGGGCGCTGGGCTGCGTACTCTACCTGCTCTGCTACAACCGGCACCCCTTCGAGGACTCGGCCAAGCTGCGCATCATCAACGGCAACTACACCATACCGGAGGGCGACACCAAGTACCAGCACTTCCACCAGCTGATCCGTGAGCTGCCACTTCATCTCCGCACTCCAGCTGATCAGCTGATCGGCCATACGCTGTATGAAAGAACAGTACCGCCTTTAGTGGGAATTCAATGAATGAATGGCGAATTCGGCTGATATCAAGGGATGCATTTTTGTTTCGTTTGAATTTGATACGATTCCATGAAATTTTAATTCACCTCAATCAAATGCTGATGCCACTGTAAATGAGAAAATGTTACTGAAATCTTGTGCATCGTTGGAAGTTGGAACCACACATTTTTTAGCTTTCCTGATGTGTTATCGTCGTTGAATCAGTCGAGCATTGACCATGTTTTCGGACGGCAGGCGGGATGCTGAAGGTGGACCCGGGCGAGCGTATGACGATCTCGGACGTTCTGGAGCGACTGGTGGCCATCGGAGAGTCGTTCGACCTGCCGCTCAAGGAGCCGCTTCACCTGAAAGGCGCCAAAATCGACACATCCGGCGGTCCCGGTGAGAGCCGCGCCCACACATGGGTTTGATTCTATTTTTAATTGAGCTGTAATCGTTTTCATTCATATGTGGATTATAATTGTTACGCATTATTCTGAATATTTCCTGTTCTATCAGGTGGAGCGGGCGCTGCGGGGGCCCCGGTCCAGGGCAGCCCCCAGTCGGCGCGGGCCGCGCCCGCCCCGCCGCGGCCTGCCCAGCAGAGCGCGCCGCAGGGCTCTCCGGCCCGGCCGCCGCCCCCGCAGCAGCAGCAACAGGCGCCGCCGGCCGCCGCCGGCGCCTCTGCCGGGTCCTCCGGCCAGGCCGCCGGACTGTTCTCGTCGCTCCGCGGTGGCGCCGGCAACCTGTTCAAAAACATCGTCGACACCTCCAAGAATGTCATGCAAACAGTGCAATCGTAAGTGAGGCTGGTGTTGGGAATACATCTGGATGAATGACCATCTTTGAACATATATGAACACGTCCTGAAAGGGGTTTAAAAAGCACCCCATCTTGTTTCTTATTCTTAATATCCTTGTTGGATTGTGTGATGGTTTTAATGTGTTTTAATTTTTAATGAAGTCTCATGTTATGTATTAGTAGCAATTGAGGACCGGATACCGGTTTGCTGTCTTTTACGGAATGGTATGCAGGGTGTCGTTTCGTTCGTTTTTTTTCCGCCAGTGAGCGGAATGTGCGGCGGGCGGGGAACTTTCCTGGTTGGCTGGGACACGGTCGTGTTCAAGGTCGCCCGCTGATCGTGATCCCCGCCCCGGCAGTGGGGGGTGGTGTGGGGCCCCGATGATTACGGAGAATTATCCCGAGATATCAGAGTCTCAGCCTGATAGCGATCTGCAGTTGGCTGTTAAGTGCAATAGCACGTCGGCAGTATCGTGTCTTGTATTTGCCCCTAGTGAGTCACTTGTTGCTAACCGTTGCTGGGACGTATCGATTTCAACTGCAGCGATTGAATGTCAGAGTCAGCGTAGTCACATATTCCATATATGTATGTCTGTTGATTGATAACCGTGACATCTTCACTACTTTATCGTGTGTATCTGTGTGCCAGGTCGATGGGTAACCGTGACCTGGACATCAGCTACATCACGTCTCGGCTGATCGTGATGTCGTACCCCGCCGAGGGCATCGAGTCCGCCTACCGGAATCACCTGGATGATGTGAGGGGTGAGTGAGCCGAATGGACGGCGGCATTACTGAGCAATAGTGCCGGAGGGCGGCTGTTCCAGAACGCTACTGCCGGACGCTGGCCGTTCGCTAGTGTCTCGCGGCGGCTGTTCCTTGAGTACAGTAGTGCCGGATGACGGCTGTGCCAGTACGTTAGTACCGGACGGCGGTTGTAGTCAGCCGAGGTGGGTGGTAGCACTGTCGGAGTTCTGGTCGGTTTCAGCGATAGTCCTCTGCAGTTTCACCCTCTCGGACGGGGGGCACTGGAGTGCGGTAAAATGTAACGGGGCGGAAAGTGAAATGATGAGATTGGGTGTGATTGTCTTGGCTGACCTGGCTGGTAATGTGTGTCGTTTTCTGAACAATGGTTCACTTGTGACAGTGCGTCGTCTTTGTTTGTCGTCCCTCTGGCTTTCCGATAAACATCGCATTTTCCTTTGTGATCTAGGTACTTGCTTATCTTAAATGTGTTTCCCTTTTATCACTTAGCGTTAAATTTGCATGGTATCCTGCAACCGTCCATGTGCGTGTGTGTGTGTGACGTGTGTGCTCGTCGTGGCCGACCCATGACGGCTAGGTGAACTGTACCTGGTGTCCGGTCTCCCGTCCGTGTATGTACCGTACGTGTGACCTGTGTGTGTGTGCCCTCCGCGACCGACCCACTGACGCGCCTCGCCTCTGTGCCGGCCGCCGGCAGCGCTGCTCGACAGCCGACACCCGGGCCACTACTGTGTTTACAACATATCGGGACGCACCTACAACCCGGCCAAATTCCCCACCAAGGTAACCGGAGAGTGCGGGCCGCTGGGGCACGGCGGGCAGCGGACCGGTGTAGTGTGTGTGAGAGGGGAGGGGGTGTTGCGTTCTGTTTAAAAGAGAGCAGTGAGATAATGGCGGCGCGCATGTAACCTCAGATCAGAATAGATAGAGGCCCTACAGTAGCTAACAGTCAAACAGTTTCACTGATGATAGATTGCATCAGTCCTTTCCTGAGTGTTATCGGCTTCTTGGCTGTTATCCTTTCGTTTTGCCATTAATTGATGCGTCTGGCATTGCAGTTCATCGCTTAAAATTACTTTGCGCGGTTTTGACGCCAACTATAATTGTGGTAGGTTATGTTGAGCCTGCGTTTTAAATTACACAATCTCGTATCTACTGTGGCCCCTGGTCTTCATCCGATCAATGTGGGGAGTCTGGGCTGCTCTCATAAATCACGGCATGGTCGGCTGGCTGTTCTCGATGACGGGGCTGTAACGGTTCGTGATCTGACGCTGGACATTTTTCATTTCCACCGCTAGTCGCGACTGATTTATTAGAGGTCGTTGGGTTAGAATCCGATGCGACCGATGGATGGTTGCGAGTTGGGACAGATGGGACGGATTCAGGGGCAGCCTGAGGTAGGGTTGCCACCTGATGTACCTGCTTTGTGTCGATGTGGGGCATCATCGTGTCTCCACTCTCCAGCGCGTTACCTGCTGCACTTCCTTGTCCCCAGTGGTACCACCCGACATGATTTCTGTGCCCACAGGTGGTGGACAAGACGTGCCACCCGGGCCGGGCACCCACCATCTTCGCTCTGTACTGGCTTTGCCAGGACATGTACGCCTACCTCAGCAAGGACACGCGCAACGTCTGCGCAGTGCACTGCATCGTAAGGACGCCGACGCCTCAGTTTCAGTCTGTTGTCCCTCATAAATGCCAGAAAGCAACCGTTCCATTAGCAACATGACTGCTTAAGGTCATTGGGGCCGGGCAGCAACCCCGACGAACCGGTAGATCGGCGAACTTTGCGCCATAACCGGACGCCATTTGCCGCCGGCCCGGGTCGTCCGGGAAATATTGACGTTTGTCGCGGTCCCGTGGACCCGCCCCGCGGCGCCGACCGTGACGCCCCGTCCGTGTCTGTCCCCAGGACGGCAAAGCGACGTCAGCCACCCTGCTCTCCTCCCTGCTCATGTTCTGCCAGTTCTTTACGTCGCCCGAGCAGGGTCTGAACCTGTTCGCCGTGAAGCGGTGTCCGCCCGGCCTGACGCCCTCCCAAATCAGGTCAGTGACGCGTACGCTGCACAGGCATGCTTGAGTTGTGGGCGAATCATCCTCTGCTATAATTCACCATCTAGTTAAATTTCTAGTCTTGTTGATCATCTTCGATGTGTTTTATTAGTTTTGTTTTGTGATGAAATTATTTATATTGTATGAATAAATAAACATGTTAAAGGGACCCTCCCACCTTCAAAAAAGTTAATGAATTGGCATGAAAGTGATGTCGCTCGGTTCAGAAAGAGCAAAAACGAATATCTACCAAATTTCATCGAAAAATATTCACCGGTTTTCAAGATATTAGACTTTTACTTTTGTTTACTTTTTGGGATCGCCGCTGTTCCTAGCGACTTTATTTGAAAGTGCGGCATTTGTTGCGCGCAAAGCAGCATATACCACCGCGTGCTACAAAACGTTTTAGTCAAACATTTAACGGACGTGCGAAAGCCTGATGACGTCATCAGATTCCCGTAATGGTTAAGAGATAGGGACCACGCTGGTCCCACCCTGCAAGTAAAGGGAAGAAGTTTCTTGAACACCATAAAGCTGCGGGGGTTGCGACCAGGATAAATGGTGGTTTCTGAGCCTGGCCGCAAACTTGGCTATCTCAACTCAAAACTAATGTTAAGGTGGGAGGGTCCCTTTAACCCGAGCCCGGCACTTCGCCTCATTACTGTTGCGCTCGAGGGTAAGCAATTCATATCATGTCGCGACTTTTGCATGATTAAATGCGGGATTCATAATACCATGAAGCAGTGTTGTGTTCGTAACAAGGCCACGTGTTACAAGTGTTAGAATCAAATCATGCAAATTATGCAAATAGCTAGCTCAGCCATTGGAATTGCAATTTCTGTTCCTCGGGTCTGGTCGACGAGCGCAATATCTATGTGAGTACGATTTCACGCCGACGCGTCCTCGGCAGTTGCCCGAGGCGCCCACTTCGTCTGCCGTTCTAATTCGCACCCCTGCCCCGCCAATCGACGGCAGGTACCTGGGCTACATGCGCCGTATGGTGGTCGGGCCGGAGCCCAAGGTGCCGCACCTCCAGCCCGTGACGCTCACCTCCATCACGCTGCAGCCGGTGCCGCTCTTCACAAAACTCAGGTCAGTGCTCAGATGCAGTATTCGCCAGCCGCCGTCAGGCTGATAAGCGGTCTCCGGCGGCCGCGATACGGTGATAGGTGTTTTTCATTCGTAACCTCGATTTCACTTTCAAATTCATTCGTTTCTTCATTCGTTTCTCAATTTGCTTATTCTTAGTTTAATTCGTTCGGCCGATTCGCTGGCCCGCGTGCCGATCGGTTTAGTCGTTTCTCGCGGTTCTCTTTCTGCCGTGGTCTCTGGGGCGCGGGTTGTCGTGGCGCGTGTGCCGCCGATCAGTCGGCGCGCCGGTCCGTCCAGCCTGACGCGGCCGCGCCGCTCAGGCTCCCCGCTCTGGCCTGGCCGCAGCCGCGTCCTGGGCGCCTTCTGGTCCAGTGTCGAGGGCCACCCGTTCGAGTACATGGGTCCGGCGCTGTACGAGGAGATGACCTATGCCGAGCAGATGCATTCGTGAGTGCGCCGCCTCTCCCGCTCTGTCCCGCCTCCTCCGCCCCTCTCTGGGGCGTAGTCTGCCGTGCCGTGCCGTGCTGTGAGCCCCGTCCGCCCTGCCAGCCTCGCCGCCTCGTTCGCAGCAGAGCCGGCCTGAGTGCTAGTCCTGTCCACAGCAGCTGGGCGCGCCCCGCCGCGCCCGCCGTGCTAGCAGCGCTAGATCCCCGTGTGCACCCTGTGGCGTTTGGGGATTGTGGAGTGGAGCTGGTGGTTCGCACCTGGGTGGGGTGCGCACTGCGTTCGCTCTGGGACACCCGTTGCTGGGGTGATGCTGGATCTCAATGGTGTTTTAGCACCGGTGGCGAAGCCCTCTGCAGGGTTAAGACCACGTCATGTCATTTGAATATATCCTGTTGAAATGTCCAGCTTTTCTGCGTGGGTCGCTGTTTGTCGTTGAATTTATCACTGTCGACTGTCGACTCGAGGTTATCAACATCATAAGAATTAATTCATGCATTTACATTTGACCACTCAAAATCGCAAGGCAAGCGGCACGGCCCCGGTTCAGATACTACAAGTGTATTAGCTTTGAAAACAAGTTATTCGTTACAGTCTTGCTAATAGCTTTATTAGCAAGACATGGAGGAAAAATTATGTGCTAGTATCACCTCAATAACCAAGCCAATTACTATATCACCATCTATTACAGAGCGGCCAGATCGCTTCAGCGATATCATCCGATTAAGTTTTTCAAATCCTTGATCGTCTAAAAGGGGATGTCTCTGGTCCTCCTTCCGCCTCAGTTCGGTACACCCGGTCATGTTGGGACTATTTCCAGTCTGCAAGTGTTGTGTGTGTTGTTTTGTGTTAACACGTCGGTCAGATGACTGGAACACTCATTATTCAGCCAGCAGTTGATAACAACTGGCTTGGGGTCTTTCTGGCATGGTCGTATCGTACCATACCTATTTGGGGGATATTGTGTTAGCTTGCGGTACCCTGGTAAGAGACACCAGTTTGAGAGGCTCCCCGCTCCGGGTACATACTTTCGACAGCACAGATAAAACACGACTAACACTCTAACAATATTTGTCTTTGGTTACTTACGATGCAAAGCCAAGTCCAGTTATATAGTGCCTTAGTATTATCTTGTATTTTTCGGTGTTGAGTTTTACAAATAAATACCTATATTTATATAAAGTGACAATCCCAGTTATTCATAGCTCCTTGAAAACGTCCTTTCGTTTGCTTGTTCTTGCTTGAAGCGCTTGTTGCCAGTTCCATCCTAAACATTGCTTCTGCAGCCAGTATTTTTCTTTCTCTTTTCGTCGTCTCTGCAACTTTGTGACTCCATTTGCAAAATAGCGCTAGACCATCGCGTTTTCCCACATGCTTCTGGTATGTTTAAGGGTTTTCAGATGTATAGTATCTGACAATATTTTGAGACGATCGGTTTCTGCTGTGGGTAAATGTCCTGAGCCAGAGCCCGGTGTGGAGCCCCCGGTCCGTCGGCCTGTGCCGGTCGTCCCTCTGACTGCTTTCGCTGCTCCGCAGGGACGGCTGCCGTCCGTACGTGGAGATCTGGCAGGGAGGTGAGATCATCGTCAGCACGCTGCAGGACTACGAGAACCTGCGCCACTTCAACCCGGCAGACAGAAAGGTGAGGTTTGGGGCAGCGCCGGACGACGAGGGAGGCACCAGGTGACGACTGAGGCGGCCGGCCGGTTCGGTATCGTCCTCCGTCTCCATTTCTTGCCAGTAGTAGCCCCAGTAGTTTCTGTACTCAGTACACTCTGTACCGAACAGGTCGTGCTGCCGGTCAACTTCAGCCTGTGTGCCGCGCTGTCGCCTGTATGAGTCCTCTGTACTCAAAACGCTCTGTGCCGGACAGGTGGTGCTGCCCGTCAACCTCAGCCTGTGCGGCGATGTGACGGTGGTGGTGTACCACGCGCGCCGCGTCATGGGCCGCGTCACGGGCGTGCGCATCGCCCAGCTGCAGTTCCACACCGGCTTCGTGGACGAGGAGGAGACCAGCATCCGGTTCGCCAGGTGAGCCGTGGTTGGTGCGTTAGAGTGAAACGGCGAGGCAGCGCTGAACACCTGTCACCGAAGAATGTTTGTGTTGGCTGTCGTACTTGCTAATCATGTCTGGTTTGCTGGGAGAGGGATATACTTCTAGACATGGTAGAAGTATCGTTTGTGTCATTACAGTGTGACAGTGACTTAAATAGTGGCCTAAACGAACTTATGTAATGCCTGCACAGATGCTTCATTTCGCTGCTAAAATTAAGTGGAGCAATGTTCAGTTCATGGCTATCGTCCAGTGAAGACGCTTTTCGGCAGACCCTCCGCCTCACCCCTACCCGGCCGCCTCCCCCGTATCTGTGCGTCTGACGGCTCCCGCCCCCGCCGCAGGTGTGAGCTGGACGACGTGACCGAGCCGGACCGGTACCCGCCGCAATTCGTCACCACCGTCAATGTGTTCGTCTCGGACACGGAGAAACAGGCGCGCTTCCCGCTACCCTGGAGCGGCGCCCGGCCGGCCGACAACACGCCCGACGTGCTGTTCGCCAACCGCACGGAAATGGAGGAGACCCTGGACAGATTCGGTCAGTGGCGCAGCCTCCGGGAACGTATTTCGTTTGGGGTTTCGTACATGAATGTACAAGGTTTTTTATGTAAACGCAACACAACTGAGCTCAGCGATGACCGCAATATAGTTCTTTACCTTTAGGGAATTACTCATATACTGACGTTAGTTTGTCATGGTCATGAGGTAGTTCGAAAAAATGAGTCCACGTTCTTGTTAGACCTAGTGGAATATGGACTGGAGTACACCTGCTGGAGACTTGGCCTGTTGTTTTTACTGAAGTGTGGCGCTGAAGATTCGGATGCATTAGCGCTGACCGCTCTGAGCAGTTGCTGATTGTGTCCCCGTTCTCCTGACAGCCGATGTTCGTGAGATGGCGCTGGGCCGGCCGGCGCGGCCTCCACCCCCGGCCCGTCCGCCGCCGCCGGGCACAGCCGCCGCGCCCTCTTCCAGTCCGGGCCCGCAGCGGAGGCCGCCGGCCGACATCATATCCGGCCTCAACTGGCAGAAACCGGAGCAGGTACGAAGCGCTGGATCACTTATCGCTCCTCATCTCCAGCCTTAGCTGGCAGAAACCCGAACAGGTAAACGGAGCGCTCTCTGATCCTTAACTACTCATCCCGTCTTCAGCCTCAGCTAGTGAAAAGCTAAGCAGTTGTACTTTCGTCTGTGTGATGTCCATCCTTATCTGCCACACCGCACATTCAGTTTAGCGTGTCTGCCGTTGTGTTAGAAGTGAAGGGAGCTAGTCTGACAGTGTTTCCGATCGCGCCCGGCAGGGCGGGGCAGGCTGTGTTGTGGCGTCAGTAGCTGAGTGTGACATTGTTTCCGATCCGGCCCGGCAGGTGGCAGCGCCGACAGAGCTATCGGACGACGAGGAGCCTCCAGAGCTGCCACCGCGGAGCCGGCCCCCCGAGCAGGCGCTGCTCGACCTGGGCACCTCCACCGACGGCGCCGCCCCCGCCCCCGCCCAGACCGAACAGCTCAGCCAGGGCATCGACCTGCTGGGTCTGGGAGAGACAGCTCCGGCAGCGGCCGGCACCGCCCAGCCGCCGCCGCCGTCCAATGTGGACCTGCTGTTCGGCGGCGGCCCGCCCGCCGCCGCCGCCGCCCCCGCTCCGGCCGCTCCGACCACCTCCTCCAACATGTTCGATCCGTTCGGACTCAACACGCCGGCACCCAACCTGGCGCCGCCCGCGCAGGTAAGGACAAGTTACCAGAAGCACGCCAAATCAGTGTCTAACGATATTTTGACTTTGCTAGCGTCTTAGCATGCAAGTCTAGTATGTTTTGCCGCTGAGAATTGTACAGCAGCTACCGGCTAGCGGACTCTGATATGGATGGTCTGCTTGTGTGCTACGCCACCATTAGATGTAAAATGGTTCTGTCACGCTCTTGCACGGGCCGTCAACCCAACATTTGGCTCTGCCACGCCGACTGCTATCCCTGCTAACCGGTCCTCCTCTCGCGTCCGTCAGGCGTCTCCGCTGCACCAGTCGTCGAGCACGGGCAACTTCCGTCAGCAGGCGGCCGCCGACGGTGACCTGATGGGCGACTGGGGCAGCACGCTGACGGCGCCGGCCGCCAGCGCCATGCACCGGAACGCGTCGCAGCCGAACCTGCGCACGGCCGCCGGCCAGCCGCCACTCCAGCAGCAGCAGTCGCCCGTCCGGGACCCGTTCGCCGATCTCGGTCAGTGGACGGGGGACGGAGAGCACGGGGCGGGACGGGGAAACTACAGGTGTAGTTAGGGGGTGGGGTTGTGTCTTGCGCTTGCGGCAAGCTAGAACATCTTGTTTAAAGTAGTTTTTATTGACCTTCGGTCATGCTGATAGCTGGACTTCCCTCTCCTCGGTAATTATTATTTTGTGTCACCCGTCTATGCATGTATTCTGTCCCATCACTTGCCACCTGACCTGTTGCGTGATCCGTGCGCCCAGGTAACCTGGGCGGAGCGCGCGGCCCAACGCCCACCTGGGGTCAGCCGTCGCCGGCGGGCTCGCCACACCACGCGGCCCGTCCACCGCGGCCGGCCGGGACGGCCACCAACGGCCAGCCGGGCGGCTGGGCCGGGGCTCAGCAGCCGCAGCAGCCGGCCGCCGGGCCCGCCCGACCCAACTACTCGCGCAGCGCCTTCGACGCGGCGAACAAACCCGACGACGGTCAGTGGAGGGATGGAGGATATCGGGAGGGAGCGGCTAGGGTCAGAGAGAGAGGTTAGCCGAGTCGCCGCGCCGGCCGACGCTCGCCGAAGACATGATACTGCAGGGTCGGGTGGCGAGTGCTCGGCGCCGACTGGCGGGCCGGCGACGGCCAGGGCTAGTTCTCAGGTGGGGCAGGAGCGGAGTTGCTGTGTTGAATAGACGGGCATTACGCGAGTATGGTTTACTCCCTAAGCTGAACCGGCTGACACGATGTGACTATCTGAATTCTGTGGTTTTTACACCAGCTGCAGCAAGTGTGCAGTGTGTGCCATTCGCTCCGCGTTCCCCGGGCTGTGAGCGGCGGCGCCTTTTGACGGCGACGTTCTGTTCTGTGCAGCGACCGGGACCGGCGGGCGGCAGAAGGTCTCGGCCGACACCTTCGGGGACCTGCTCGGCTCCCAGGGGTTCAACTTCACACCCAAACAGGACGCCGGCCCAAAGACCATCAACGAAATGAAGAAGGCCGACATGGCCAAGGAGATGGACCCCGACAAGCTGAAGGTGCGTGTGATCGGGAGGGATATTAGGAGTTGTTACACTCACTGTTTTGGTTCTAAATGTATACGGTTATCCGTGCTTTTGACTGTCGGTGAACATGGGTGTGGGGGACGGGGGTATATTTTTTCCACGTGATTGAGATTTGTGAATCACTTTTGTAGTGGGTCCGTCGGATACCGTGTTCTGAGCACCCATCCAATATCTGACGGTCACTGCTCTGCTCTCAGATTGTGAACTGGACCGAGGGCAAGCAGCGCAACATCCGCGCGCTGCTGTGCAGCATGCACAAGGTGATCTGGGACGGCTGCCGGTGGCAGGAGTGCCAGATGAACCAGCTCGTCACGCCCACGCACGTCAAAAAGATGTACCGCAAGGCCTGTCTGGCGGTACATCCAGACAAGGTGAGAGGGGGCTGGCAGTCGTGACGAGGCGAGGGACGTTGGTGCCACAAAGACAGTGTGGCGGTTCAGAATCCGTGTGCAGTTCGCACTCATGGTGCGCGTATGAGATATAATGTCACTGGTCGTATGTTCTGATAGCGGAAACGAGTGTCACAAAGAGCCCGACTAGGCCGTATTGAAACGGGAGCAGCTGGATCAGCTGCAGCAGAGGGAGATGCACGGCTGGCTGGTGTTCAGCGGACCGGCGACCGCCCGAGTACCACGCTCCAGCAGAGGCGAGGACACAGCCCGCCAACTCCGAGACTTGATCCAGAGCCTCATGAACTATGACCTGGACATGAGTCAGATCGGAGAGGTGCAGCGCGATGAACGTCAGATCCGAGTGCACTTCACCACAGTGGCAGCTGGTTCGGACAGATTCTTCCTAGTGCGCAACAAGACGAGACTGAGAGGCACGGGCCTCTACATCAGGGAGCGCCTCACCCCATTCAGGCAGTGGCTGTTCAACGAGCTGATGAAGCTGAAGCGGAACAGCCTGATTAGCACGGTGTTCACCAGGGAGGGCACCGTGTTCGTAGTCACCAGCCAGCACGACCGGCCGCGTCCGGTGAGGTCGGAGGCTGCGCTGGAGCGGCTGTGGAGGCACCTGGCCGAACAGTCTGCCAACCAGAGGATCGAGGCATCACATTCACCACGTCAGTCTCCGCGGGTCTCACCGGGAGCGGCTGAGGCGACACCTGCGGTGGAAGGTGGAGACTCGGCTGACCCAGGGGGAGCGGCAGTGGCGCGTCTCGGAGACTCAGCCCCGCGATCAGCGGCACGGCGGCGAACGCTGAGCCGCAGCCCGCAGGATGTCAACACAGAGCGGCGGCAGCACATGTACGCAGACGGTGGCGGCAGAGAAATCGGAGAAGAGCGGACCTGGACGCAAGTCGTTTCTGCTCCGTTGGACCGTGGTCTCCCGGCCGCGGCGACTCTCCCGGCGGTTTCCGCCGCCGCGGAGACCGGCCCGGATCCGGCGGCGATCGGCTCCACCGCCACGGGAGCTGGCTCCGACGCCGCGGCGGGGACCGGTCCTCAGCCTGGTGTTTCCGAGAGTGACGGCGGCTGCGGTACCGGTGACAGCGCAACTTCTGCACCGGACAAAGGTAGAGGTCGAGCGGCCGCTGGCGGGGGGACTTCGGCGGGTCGGGTGGGAGGTAGCCGCGATGTGATGGCGTCGGCGTCTGGGGCACGTCACCGCTTCGGTGGCGATATTCGCAAATTCGTGCGAGGGGGACACAGTAAAGTAGACTAGAGGGGGAGCGAGTAGAGGTAAACGTGCAAAAGTCGCAGTTATGCAGGTGTACATACCGACTAAGGAGGGAACCAGTGGCGATATGGCATGTAGTGTCACTGACCAAACAACTGTATGCCACGATGTGCCGCGCTTTAGATATAAGGTACTCAGCGCAGTAAACGTGTGTTGCGTGTGCATAAGTGCGCGCGTTAGCTATGATGTATTGTTAAGATTGTGTATACGAGTGAACATTAGAAAAGTGCAAATGTATGGTGGCATGTATGGCGTGGGTATGAGTGCTTATACCAAGAGAAAAAGTTTATGTATAGGTAGGAGAGGAGCGGTGGTAACAAAAAAACTAAAAAAAGAAAGAAAAAACTAAGATGCTAAACGTTATAACATTTAACGTTAACGGTTTGGCCAGTAACGATGCAATGGTGCCCAAAAGGCGTAAAGTATTCACTTGGCTGAAGGCTCAGCGTTGCGATGTGGCTTTATTACAGGAGACGCACTGTTCTGATTCGATGCAGCACATTCTGTCGCATGAATGGGGTGGAGATAGTTACTTCTCTAACGGTACTAGTAACAGTAGGGGTGTTTGCATACTCATGCGGCGAGGTCTTGATCTTGAGATAAAAGAAATTCGAAGAGATGATCAGGGCAGAGCCCTATTCATTAAGGGGATATTTGAAGGCAAATCGATTTTGATCGGAAATATTTATTGTCCAAACACAGACGAGATCGAATCAATCATGCTCGCGAACAACTGGTTGACTGAAATGCAGGTGGATAATATAGTTATTGCAGGAGATTTCAATGTAACGTTAGATCCCAATCTGGACCGAGATGGGCAAAATCAGAGAACGGTCCGAGACTACTGTCGGCTAAGAAGTAGAGCTCTGAGAGAGACTTTAGATGAGTTCAGTCTTGTTGATATATGGCGCAAACTGCATCCTACTGCCGCGCAATTTACATTTTCAAGGGGGTCTTCTAGATCTCGATTAGATTATTTTTTTATATCAGAAAATTTATGTTTGCCAGAAGCGCATGTTAAATGCAGCATATTGCCACCTTTCCTAGCTGATCATCGGGCTGTGCAGCTGACAGTTTGCCCCATGAGTCAAACCAGAGGTCCAGGGTATTGGAAATTTAATAATTCGTTACTGACAGACGAAGCTTTTGTCGACGAGACAAGCGTTTTCATTCGAGAAGCCTTAAGAGAGAACGATACAAATGAAATATCCCGTACGCTTCTTTTTGATACAGTGCTTTGCATGACACGTGGTAAGGTAATTCAGTACGCGTCACGGAAGAAACGACTAAGAGAGGAACGACTGAAAAGGCTAGAAAATATAATTTCTGTTAAAAGTGATGCAAACGAAAATGATGAGCAACTGCAAGGAGCTATAGAAGAGAGGAACGAGATAATAGAGCTTAGAACAAAAGCGAACATGTTCAGATGCAAAGTCAATTGGGCAGCGTATGCCGAAAAGAGCTCGGCTTATTTCTTTTCACTAGAACAACGTAAAGCGAGGTCACGCTCTATACCATCTTTGTTCTTACATCATGTAAGAGATACTGGAGAACTGTCTGACAGCGCAGATCAGATATTGAACGAATGCACCGCCTTTTATGGCAAGCTTTATAAACGTGTGCCGAGGCCAGAAAGAGAAACCGTTTCTTTTTTAGAGTCGATCGATGCAATTACGGAAGCACAAAGAGAGGAATGTGACATGCGGTTTACAGAGGCGGAGTTGACGGCTGCGCTCTCCTCTATGAAGTTAAATACAGCGCCTGGTCCTTGCGGTTGGACAGTTGAATTTTTTTAAAACTTTTTGGGACATTTTCTGTCCGTTGCTGCTCGCGCTGATAGCTGAAATTTATGAACGCGGTACATTACCAGACTCTTTTTCCGGAAGTATAATAACGCTAATCCCAAAGAAAGGCAAAGATAAAAGGTGTGTGGAAAACTTAAGGCCAATAAGCTTACTGCCAGTACCGTACAAAATTCTTGCAAAAGCTATGGCGCTACGCTTAAAGAAAGTAATAGGTGACTTGATCCACTCTGACCAGACTGGGTTCATGAAAGGACGCTATATCGGAGAAAACATAAGACTGATTATGGATTTAATGGAATATGCAAAAAGAAAGAAAATTAAAGCGTTGCTAATGCAATGTTATTTTTTGAAGGCCTATGATTCTATAAGCTGGGACTATTTGAATGAAGTAATTCGAGCGTATGGATTTGGAGAAACTTTTCAAAGATGGATAGCTATGATTTATCCAACCACTTCGTATAGTAACAGTAGAGTAAACGTGAACAACTTTCTATCATCGAATTTTCAAATAGAGCGCGGTATAAGACAAGGATGCCCTTTGAGCTGCTTGATATGGTTGTTGTGCATCGAACCGCTTTTGAGAAAAATCCGTGCAGCTGAGCGGATTAAAGGGATAACAACTTCCGGAAGAGAAATAAAATTGTCGGCATATGCAGACGATCTAACTCTTATCTTAGATGGATCGGAAAGCTCCTTAAGGCATGCAGTAAATGTGTTGAATGAATTCAGAGTGGTCTCAGGTCTACAGCTTAATATGGGAAAGACGATCTGTTCATGGATGGGTGTTACAAGGCATCGGGGTGCCCCGATTTGTCAGGAGTTAAATCTGAAATGGTTAAAAATAGGAGAGCCTTTAGAACTGCTAGGTGTCAAAATACTTCCCGATAGTCAAAGTACAAGAGATATAAATTATAGTTGTAAGCTTGAAGAAATAGAGAAGGCCATGTCCCCATGGGTACAAAGGAGTCTAACGCCACTTGGCAGAGTATTTCTAGTGAAATCACTCTTGCTCTCTAAATTTGTTCACGTTTTCGCTGTAATTGAGAATCCTGATAAGGCCTACATAAGAAAGTTGGAATCGTTGTTATTTAAATTCATATGGGGAAAGAAGGATAAAATAAAACGTGGAATAGCAAAGAGACAGTTCTTAGAAGGTGGCATTGGGGCGCCAGACGTTGAATCGTTCGCAAACGCACTTAAAGTAGCATGGATCAAAGGTTGGTTGGACCCGAAAGAATCGAGCTGGAAATTATTTGTAAATGAGTACCTTCAGGTCAGCGACAGGTTAAATATCTTTCAATGTAACATTGGCGTCTTGCAAATCCGACGGAGACATCTCCCGATGTTCTGGGACCAGGCACTGTCAGCATGGGCCCAGATACTACAGAGCAGTGGTGAAACAGACGAGATTATGACACAGGTTTTGTTTTTAAATCGGAACTTAAACATTGAATCATCATTTACGAACTATCAATTGCGAGTAATGAAGGCATTGCAGATCACACAGGTAAAACATTTGTATAACTTTCCGTCAAAGAAGTGGTTTACTGCACTAGAACTAAAACAGAAATGGAGTGGTTTGGACACAATGACGTGTAACTCACTGGTCAGCAAGATACCATCGGAATGGCGATCGGTGCAACGATGCTCTGAACCTGCGTCAGATGCTCATATAACATTGGAAAGGTTATTCAACGTAGAAAGTACTACGAAATGGGCTTATATAATTTTAGTAAAACCTAAACTAAATGAAACGTGTTCATGCGAACGTAAATGGGTTGCAGAACTTGGTTTGGCTCCGGACTGGAGACAGATAACGAAATATCTAACCGAAAGTACAAAGAATATTGATCTAAGATGGCTGCAATTTCGCATCTTGCACAGAATATTGCCAACGAGAAAAATGTTAAAGATGTTCGGAATGGTCGAAGATGACCAGTGCGTGTTTTGTAAACGAGCTGTAGAAACAGCATCACATTTATTTGTACATTGCCCAAAAGTTGAGGCTTTTTGGGATGAAGTATGGAGAGCGTTTAAAAGAGGAAACCGGTCATATAACAATATGGAGCTATCTCCTCGTAAGATATTGTTTGGTGTTGATTCAAACAAACATTATGGTTTAAACCTATTGCTATTACTGGCCAAATCTTTTATATGGAAACAAAGTAAAAAAGGAAGTGATGTAACGGTGTGGTTGTTTTTGATTCATTTGCAGACGTTTTTTAATGTGCAGGTAGGTGTACATAGACTAAACGATAAAGCCGAAGAGTTTAGCACACTCTGGTGTGCTACGGCAAAAACCATTGGAGTGCTGTCTGGGCGATCGTGAAGAAGCGATCAATGATGTATCTGTATCAGTGGAAAAAGATGTGCGCGAAACAAGCCCCCGCCCCTATGACCCATCCGGGCCAACCCGGGACTGGCCCCTACTGTGAGGGGCCGGTCGGCCGGCCGGGCGTGCGGAGCGCCGACCTAGACGGGTCGACGTTTCGCTCGCCCGGTCGGCGGTTAGGGGGCACCGCCCGGGGTTGCTTGCCGGGCGGTGCGGGCGGGGGCTGGCGGCCCGCCTGGAGCGCCGGGGAGGTAGCCATCAGATCTCCCCGGCTGGGGAAGCATCCCCCAGCTCTCCCCAGGGCCGTGGACGGCACCGTCCCGGCCTGGCCAGGCGGGTCGCCGATGGTGACCACAACAATGTTTCATGCCGGTGTTTTTATGCGAATTATGTAAATAAAACTGTGGAAAAAAAAACGGGATTGGGTGACACAGACGCAGGACTGACAACGCAATAAACGCAATCGTTGAGAGTTCACTGAAGGTTGGCATGTTATGTTAGGAGGCTATCCTTCATTGTACAATACCGCTGGCTTTGTTGCCTATCACATCCATATGTTAATGGCAACACTGTATTCACAGCCGTTTTTTTTTACAGCAAACTGGCTCGGAGAACGAGAAGATGGCCAAGCTGATATTTATGGAGCTGAACGACGCGTACTCCGAGTTTGAGAACGACGAGACGCAGCAGAATCTGTTCGGCCACTAGTCGGCGCCGCCGCCGGCCGCCGCAGTGGTGCGTAGAGCGTAGTGCAGTGTAGCGGGCCGCCGAGTGGCCTTCGGGCCCCCGGCGCGCTCATTTTGTGATATACGAGCGTCATCTCTCAGTCATTATCGTTGTTTTAGAGATTGTTTCTGACCATTGCCGAGGTTGTTATGTATGGGTGTGCGCGGCGCGGCGGGGCGGGCCTGTACCAGCGGCAGTATTCACTATACTCCAGAGCAGTCGCCACCATCATTCCAGCCTGTGTCCGAGCCGCGACTGAGGGCAGGCCGGTCGGGTCCACTAACTGCAGGGGAGAGACCCACCCATCTGAGGGGAGGACCCACCCCGTCTGCAGGGGGAGGGCCCACTCTGTCAGCGGGGAGGCCGGTCGCGCCGCAGGCGGTTCCTCGCGTGGTCAGCTCTGTTAATCGATGGGTAGTTGATGGCCGTGTTGTCGACTCGGAGACGTGGTTATTTGTTTTATATAGATTATTTACCGTGTGTAGCGTGGTGCCGTAGCGAGCTGTGTAGCGCCGCGGCCCAACAGATGTGCGTTTATCCGTCGGCAACTCCAGCAATTCCATTGTGTTGTAGCGAGTGCAGGGGCGGCCGAGAAACACGGAGCTTGTGCGGGTTGTGTTACCTCGTTGGAGGTCACTGAACTGATCAGACCCCTGACCATCGACGCCCAGAGAACCCCTTCACGGGACCCGGGACGGAATCGCGCCCCCCCCCCCCTCTCCTCGGCAGCAGCTGCTATGCACGACGCCAGTCGCCAGCAGTGAGCGCAGGCGCTGCATATCCGCGTATACGGGGCACAGAGAGTGACCGTTGCTGGTCCAGTCACAATAATCGTCTGTCGCCACGGCGATCGGAGTTGTGGCTATGTGGGAGTGAAAGGCGGTGTGCGGACGGACGAATGTTGTACGTGACGAGCGGACGGCGTGCGGTGTGGATGTGACGTGCGGCGCAGCTCCGCCAGCTATGCTCTCGCTGAACGGCTTCAGTGCTGTCCCTCACCGTCTCTGTGAACTCGCCTGGCGCGGCGCAACTCCCAATAACGGCACACGGCGTCGGTGACCTGTATTTGGCGCAGCCGTCGCCGGTAGCTAGCGTCTCTATCTCTGTGTGGTATGTAGACAGTGGCCCATCCTTGTGACACGTCCCTGAAATATACCGTATGAGCAGCGCACGCCTCTCGCCACACACCTGGCGCCGGGGCCCGGCCACCAGCGCGAGCGGGCCGGCGTGGTCCGGGCGCTCCTACCGAAGAAATTGTCAGCGACGACCTTCAGTAATCACTGCACTGATGGGACATTATTGGTGGCGACACCGCCGCTCGGTCGTCCAGGCGTCACCTGGCTGCCGGACGGTACAGCTGCCAGGCGGTGTGGGCGGATCGTCATGTCCTGTCAGTCGAGCGTCTCCGCCCACTCCGTGCCACCTCCAATGCTGGAAGGCTGACGGGGAACACTGCCACGGCAGACAGAAGAGCTGTCCAGTGTCCATGTCTTCTGACTGGTGATGAAGCCGGTGGAATGTAGCTCAGAACACTGCAACTCACTGCATTGCAGTCTCACATGCGCACAAGTGAAATCACAGATCACACTGTCGACGGGCCGACAGTCACGGCCCGTCAGCGGGGACCCCGGTTCGACTTTGGGCTTAGTCACTGTAAGCTTCACCACAGTGCGATAGCGTGTTGGCTGTGAACTGTATGGGCAGGCAGACGGTGAGATCATGTCAGTCCTGCCGCCCTCAGCCACATTCAAGTATCCGGAGTCCATGGTGTTTGGACGTCGACCCAATACAGGGCCTGGCCCAGTACAGTTCATATCACTCTCTCCCCCCGCCTCGCAGCGGTCCCTGCCCTCGGCGGCCACTAGGCGATGTTGGAGGTGGTCTTCTCCAGGTAGGCGAGGTGTCCGTGCAGAGGGCCGCCCTGGTGGCCGGGGAACGGCGGCGCCGGGCCGCGCGCCATGTAGCCGCCCGGTCCCATTGGACGGTACTGCTGCAGTCCCGGCGGTAGGCCCGCAGAGCCCGGCGTCGGCACACGCTGGGAAAACGGGAACGGTCGTCAGCCGGGATAAAACAGCGACGCAGACAACGCCGGAAACATTGACGCCGAGTTCAACAAAAGATGTCACATTATATTGCCGAAACGATCAAAAGCGGGAAAAGACATGTTGGTACTACAGGTATTTTGGGAACTCACAACACAGATAAATCAAACGAGTTATTAGTCGTCAATCAGGTCAGTACCGGTTTAAAAGCACATCGGACCCAGTCCCGCCCCGCCGGCCCGCTGCCACCCTCCCCGCCTGCCCCGCTAGTGCCCTCCCCCGCCGGCCCCGCTGGTGCCCTGCCCGCCGTCCGTATCTACCTGGCCGTCCTGCAGCTGCGGGGGCAGGTCGGCCGGCCCGCGCGGGTGCTGCACCTCTGCCAGAGTGCTCTTCCAGAAGGCGATCTTATCCTGGGTCTTCTTGATGAGCTCGTCCTTCCGTGCCAGCTCGGCCTTCAGGTCCAACGTGTCCTGAGCAGTACGGAGAGAGGAAGGTGACGCGGGGCCACAAACAACAGCGAGCCCTGACCGGCCATACGGCTAGAGGGGCGCACACAGGGTCACAAACGGGGCAGTCAGCTCACCCTAACCGATAGCTGGCGAGGAACGATTAGCCAGGGCAATAAAATGGCATCATGCCCCGACATGCGGTACGGCGCAGGTGACGGCGCACGGGGTCGCGATGGGATGTGCTCCTACCCGCTCGCGCCCCACCCCTCCCTGCTCACCTCCTTGATGATCCAGTCAGGCCGGTGAGCCGAGAGCAGCAGCCTCTTCTGCAGGAAACTCTGGTCCACCTGGCGAGCGCAGTCCATGAACTGCAGCACGGACGCCTCCGCGTGCGAGCGGATGTCCTCCCGGTCCTGGGTATTGAAGTTATCCTCCTTGATGAGGATGCTGAAGCAATTCTAAAAAGAGGCATAAGTGTTACAAATAGCCACATTACTCATCATATGCAAGCACACGCAGTACTCGTGTATATTGGGTGTCAAAACTTCCTTAGCTATGAAATATGTAGCAACATAAATTGAAACTCAAAGGAAACTAGCTTCCCTCCATCATGGTGCCATGTACGAATCTCGTAAACAATTACCATGTTTAACAGCTGTCAAACAGAAAATATTACCCTTCTTATAGACTTGAACATAATGTCAAAATGATTATAAAACAAAGTGAAATGAAGTGTGTACATTGCAATATACATTATACACCCATGTATGAAAAATGAAAATCTCATGCCTTGTTGGTGAAACAAGTACAACTCAACAGTATCACATAAAAATGATAAAACAACCATTAGAAAAGCATGAAGTTCACCTGGAAAGCTGCTTCCAAGTTGTCTATAAGCATATTTGGGCCATTGGCTGAAGAACTCGTCCCATTCTCTGAAGAAGCCATTTGTATATTGCTTCAGTTTTAACTGTGAAAAAGAAATATCATAATTCATGCAACATTTGTAGCTAGACCCGCACGAATCAACATACAAATGTCATTTTAAAAAGTTTACTTTGTTTTATCATTGACTAAAAGCACAGAAGATGAATAATTGTTAATGACTGAAATATCTAACACACTGAAGCCATCAGATGATATTATCTGTTCTAGAGTAAATATAAGAATAAAGATCCATTCCATTCCAGCAGGCCTACACACTTCACAGTCCTCAAAATTCCATGTATGAGGGTAGTTGAGAGCACCCTTCACTTTGACAATCACCCCCTGAAATTGGGAAGTTCAATAGAATTATGATTCTAATTTACCATCTGCCAAAACTGAAACCAGTCATGTTAAACACATGTAGGTAATTAAGCAGGCATAAATTTTAGAGTTCCATTCAGTCACGGTCGAAGGGCACCCAGTTTTCATAATGCTCCACCTATGTTTCTTCAGGAGGGATGTTATGTGGATGGAGGTTTGATCACCAAGACCAATGGTAAGTTGTTCCTTTTTTCCTTAATTCTGAGAGAAATGCAACATTATATCACCAGCCTGGGTGAATAAACCTCAAACCTGGGTCCACAGTCAACAAACCAATGGATGAATGAATGAATGAGTTGGACTATTTAAACACAACACGCATAAATAAATCACGGAAAAAAATGTGAAAATCAGTTGTATTGTTTTCACTACACAAATCAATCTTAAAGTATATCCGAAAATAGTGATTATTTGTGCTTAAAAAGTACCTAGCTAAAAAAAAACTAAGTAAGCCGTAGCAGTCGGGGAAACTATGGTAAAATCTGCTATTTTTAGCAGTCTGCTATTTTTAGCAGAAATCTGCTAAAAATGGGTACGCATGTGACGTCATCGTACCCAAATATAGCAGATTTGGGTACGGCCCCATACAAAAGCAGATCTGCACCCTAATTGAAGCAAATGCGCATCAAATGCCTGGCAGATTCATGATTAGAATAGTGCTGAGAATGTCCTCTGATATTTTTGTTCAGATCCGACTATTTTCAAATAATGAATTTGAAAATTTGTTCAGATCCGACTATTTTCAAATAATGAATTTGAAAATAGTCGGATCTGAACAAAAATAGCAGAGATCACTCTCAGCACTATTCTCATCATGAATCTGCCAGGCATTTGATGCGCATTTGCTTCAATTAGGGTGCAGATCTGCTTTTGTATGGGGCCGTACCCAAATCTGCTATATTTGGGTACGATGACGTCACATGCGTACCCATTTTTAGCAGATTTCTGCTAAAAATAGCAGACTGCTAAAAATAGCAGATTTTACCATAGTTTCCCCGACTGGTAGGGGTCGTGGGGCACAAACAGGCATAAAACGGAAAACGATTTCGAGAGTATGTAAAGCACTATAAACAGTAGGAAGTTCTCATGTCTCTGATGACAAGCAAGAACTACATAATATTCGATAAACCAGTTTATTACTATTTGTTTTCCATGAAAAATAATGATTAACAAAGTCAAAGTGAAGAGCCCGGAAGAGAGCCACACGCCATATATGTATTTCCTGCGCCCATAGATATAAAGACTAGATAGGGCACCCCCATGTCGGGAGCGACTCGCGAATACGTAGCAGCGGCCGCCATGTTGGTGAGGGCGAGAATCTGCGGCGCTGTGTAAACACTATGGGAGGAGGGGGGTGTTTGGGACAGATTTTGTGGCATTTTTCGACCGAAAAGTGTTAATCTTTTTTACCTATGGCATTCTTTGGAATGAGTAGATTGTGAAACAAGGGCAGAAACATGTGTATTTTTAGTAATGTAATTACATCAGCCCTAGACATATAGCCCTGAAGACGCTGATAAAGGATATGCGGCACCGAAGGTAGATGCAATTGGCATGCTAATTTAAGATTAAATTCGTTTCCCATTATCGCTACCATACTTTATATCAGGGATGCGGAGCCGGAGCCGGAGTCGGAGCCGGAGCCGCCGGAGCCGGCATATTTTGCCCGGAGCCGGAGCCGGAGCCGGAGCCGTGAAACAATATAGCCTGGAGCCGGAGCCGGAGCCGGAGCCGCCAAAAAAGGGGGCGACTCCGGCTCCTTTTTATTTTTTGAAGAAGAAAAAATAATTGACCTAGTTCGGTTTGACAGTACAAGGCAGTAAAACATATCGTACTATTGGTCTCCATATAAGTGCCCAGGCGACCTGTAGTTTTGATGCGGTGAATACCCTCACCCTCGCCGCAATGCGAGTGGGGGTGGCGCTGGCTGGGAGGAGGGGTGCACTCGGCCCGAGTTGTGGCGAGGGTAAGGTTATTCACCGCATCAAAACTACAGGTCGCCTGGGCCCTTATCTTGAGACCAATAGTACGTCATGGGCCATCAAGTGAATGAAAAAGCCGAATATCCCCAGTATCCCACAGTACGCAATCAACTTCCTGTCTGCTCCTCCCCCCCCCCTCACGTCTACTGCATCCCCAGAACATGAGGACCGGTCATCAGGTGACGGCCATTGTTTTGAAGCCAGTGCAGTGGACTGCGACTCCCAGCACCGTCTCTTCCCACCCCCACCCCCCACCCCCCACCCCCCAATGCAGCCGAGATGGGTGTTAGCTTACGATGGTTCAGTGAACTCCGATTCGCGGCGACTGCGTTTCCAATGCCATCGCTTCCTAGTCCCTTGTTCTGCCAGTTCTCTCCGAGGTGCGTTTGCGCGGGGACGCGGTGAGCCGGTCATGGCAAGAGTAGGTAACGCGTATGCCGTATAACCAATCCAATTTTTCTTCCACCCGTATTTAATTGATTGCATAGGGGATGTACTGAGTCGGAGCCGGAGCCGCCGGAGCCGGAGCCGCCGGAGCCGGACCATTTTACTCGGAGCCGGAGCCGGAGCCGGAGCCGCCATAACATTTCACCCGGAGCCGGAGCCGGAGCCGGAGCCGATTTTTTTCTCCGGAGCCGGAGCCGGAGCCGGAGCCGTTTGAAATTTCCACGGCTCCGCATCCCTGCTTTATATCTATGTATGCAGTATGCAATGGACAATGATCGACAATAAGTGCAATTTTAGCCCTCACCCGTTCGTAGTTTGTCAGCGTCTTACGAGTAGGGGAAGCCAGGGTGAACGGAGTGAACTCCAGCCGTTCGCCCCTCGACGGAGCAAGAACGGAAAAAAATAGGTATGCTGTCCGCGATGTGAGTAAACCAGTGATACCAAATTTCAGGGTACTAGGTCAACGGGTGAACTCAGAGGTCAGGTCAAACACTGGAAATCGAACCAGTAAAGTCACTGGAGTTTGAGATCTTTCGCTATAAAATCGACCAAAACGCGTGAACTGTCGGCGAAATGGGTTACATCATTCCCAATCAACCTCATCTCGAAATCTAGCGAACCGGGTCACATAAGGTCATACAAGGTCAGCGACCTTAGATGACCTCGGATGGCCTTGACACATGGCGGGTCATGTGAAGTGTATTTATGGGCGCCGATCTCGAATCCCGTGTCAATCTTACTTTAAAAAATGATTTGCGGGCACAAATCCGCAAACATAATTAAGGATTACGAATAAAATGAGCAAGATGCTCCGAAAACTGCCCATATGAAGCGCAGCCTTGACCTCGAGGCAAATGCACGTATTGTTTTTTACATGTACTTTGGAGCCTATAATGGTGGCCATGCTGTCAATTCATTTGTTTAGTGTCACTGACTGCTTAAGCAATAGACAGTTCCCTAGTAAATAGGCAATGTTCTGTATGATAGTTTTTAGGCCTTACCATTCACTGATCCTTGCACCATGCTTTTGGCATTAGGTCATGTTTGCTACAGCTTCTCATAAAATTGAAATTGGTTTCTTTATTGAAGCTGTCTCCAAGACCTTTCATTCCATAAACCACCCATGTAAACAACTAGTTGTGTAAAACACTGCAAATAAAAATAAAAATTTGATATTGATACAGGGTGATACAGATCAAAAATGAATCACATAAAGTCAACCCCCAGGAAAAAACATTACAAGTTAGCATGTAAAATTGAAAGGTGTGTATAGAAAATGTGAAGAGAAGAAGCAGTTTAACCCAAGTGATGTTACGACAAGTTAACGTAAGTGGCTTTTATCATGTTGGTGCACACTGGTTTAAACCGGGGTGGCTTAAATTAGTTTATGCCAGCCGGTTTAATCCATGGATTAAACCGGTTTAAACCGGCTGCTGGCATAAATTTGCCAACCCTGGTTAGGTTAGTAGGTGAGGTTAGGTCAAGTAAGATTATGATTTTTATCTTCCTTGGACTTCATATTTACTTGTTAGCACTTAGCATTGATGGTAACGCCAGATTTACTAATACCCTATTTACTGATACTGATAACAGGTGAGCCAAAAGAGCATGAAGTGTAGTTTAAGCTTTACAATGTGAAAACTAATTAGGTAATGACAATCTGAGTTTAGGTGCTCCAACTAACGCACATTTTTACGTCACCCCTGTGCTGTTCATTATTGGGATCAAATGTGCGACACGGTTCACTGGTGCAGATATCACGACGTCTGGCATTTTCACTATCTATCAGCTCTGGTTGAGGGTGAGCGTGGTATGCCACTGCACTCTGAACCCAGAGCGGATAAGAGCCCCCGAGGCATCTGGCATAGTGCATGGATTTTTCGTTTGGCACTGAACTACTATTTAATACTAACTGATGACATTAAGTAAAGTACTTATTTAAAACCTATAATCATAAAACCTTCTTACTTCATAAATATTGTCCATTGAAGGCAACAGTAGAAAGTGAGCAGGCAAAGCAAGTGTAGGTAATGAGTCTGCTTTCCGCTGCCAATGTTCTGGTACCTATCTAGGTAAGCTTTCTTTGTGAAAAATCATATGACTGATGCTCTATCCATGCAAGAATAATTAAAGGATTGTGGTGTGCACAAAAAAAAAACATGGGAACCGAATTAAATCTAAAACAGGCATGCCAAGCAAATCTACCTTTGGTGCCGCCTATTCTTCATCAGCGTCAACAGTGCAACATGTCTAAGGCTAACGTAGCCAAATTACAATAGATAAGCATATTTCAGCACTTGTTCCACAATCTACACATTCCAAAGAATGCCGTGAGCAAAAAAGATTAGCACTTTTCGGTCGAAAAATACCACAAAATCAGTCTCAAATACCCCCCTCCTCCCGTAGTGTTTACACAGCGCCGCAGATTCCCGCCCTCACAAACATGGCGGCCAGTCGCACGCGGCCCCCGCCGAAGTTAGTTGGTAGCACTGCTGCTCCACGGCGTACATTTCCTACCAGCCCATAGGGTTTACATGTTAAATGGCCTGTTTTCGGCGAGCGATATCTCGGTCAACCTTTGAAGGAATCAATGGTTCTTAGTCTCAAATGATAGATCGATGAATTTTCTTTCGACAATTCTTCTACCATTTTTCACGAAACCCAGCCGATCTTCTACGGCGTACAGGGTAAAGATTTCTCTGCACGCCAGCACCCGCGATCCGCCTCTCCGATCGTCGGCGCGCGGTCCTCGGTAGCGCAGTCGGTAGCGTATCGGGCTACGGATCCGAGGGTCGTGAGTTCGAATCCTGGAAGCGCCGCGTGATTTTGGCTATTACTGTATGCCTGGCCTATTCAAATACATTAGCCAGAGGGGTGTGGTAATAACTGGTGTAAGCAAATTGACCACGGTCAAAAATGCATTACCAGAATGCACTTAAGCCAACATTTTGGGATGGTCTCGTTCCTAAGTCGGATAAGAACTTCGGTCCAGAAAACGAATTTATCGTTGGCATACAGTAAAATACATACCAAACTCGGCCGGTGATAAATTTTCAAGACCTCAGTCCTTACTGATTTTTGAACTCGGCCTTCGGCCTCGTTCAAAAATCCAGTAAGGACCTCGGTCTTGAAAATTTATTTACACCGACCTCGTTCAGTATTATATAGAATTGAATGATGTAGATTCTTGATTGTTTGCATAATCAATTATTAATAGTTAATTGAATGTATCTGCCCACTAATCGGCCCCTTAAACCTGTTATTTAAGAAATTTAAGAAATGAATGTCACGTGCGCGTCACGACTGCCAACCATAAGCGCTACCATATTCTAGTTTGAATTAACTTTTTGCTAGTCCCGACCACATATAGTAAGTTTTCTAGTAGTTATACTAGAAATTCCTACCAAAGTTCGTCCTACCCTTCACTCAATATACCCTGAGTCGCACGCACTAAAACACTGCCAATGTCCCATCTAGTATTTTATATCTATGCCTGCGCCATTCTGATATGCAATATGGTAGCAAAAATATTGAAGAATTTTTATCTGGTGAAGGAATTTGCATATCAGAACCTTTGCATTTCGGTGGTCCTTTATGTAAGGAATCTTGAGTCAAATCCTCCTCCATGTCACCAACCACCCCTGTTCCCGGCTGGAAGGGCACAGGGCAACCCGTCCCATGCGAATAGCTCCCATAGGAGCAGGCCTGTAACCGGGTGCGGTGACTGTCAGGGGGATGGGTCATAAAGATCTTAGAGATCTTGGGATGGGTGGCCACTGGCCTCAGGCCTGTCCTCGTGATGGGATTAGCCCGACGACTCACCAGGGTGCCCGCCTCGACCAATGTCTCTCCATAATTCCTATCATCCTCCCGGCTCTGAGATGGTCTTGTTAAAACGACTAAAGAGCCACGTCTGTCAAGACAGCCTCAGATTCAGATTCACTTTCAGAATCACATTCGGACCCCCTTAGATTTTCATACAAACTGGTCCATGGGTACAGTTTTGGACGCTGATTCCAATGGTGAAGTCTGTTTTTCGCCACATATTATACTTTGGCCCCTAGAGGCATTCAAAGTTTTTTTGGGGCGAAGGGGGACCCCCTTAGATTTTCATAAAAACTGGTCCATGGGTACAGTTTTGGACGCTGATTCCAACGGTGAAGTCTGTTTTTCGCCACATATTATACTTTGGCCCCTAGAGGCATTCAAAGTTTTTTGGGGGAAGGGGGACCCCCTTAGATTTTCATAAAAACTGGTCCATGTGTACAGTTTTGGACGCTGATTCCCATGGTGAAGTCTGTTTTTCGCCACATATTATACTTTGGCCCCTAGAGGCATTCAAAGTTTTTTGGGGCGAAGGGGGACCCCCTTAGATTTTCATAAAAACTGGTTCATGGGTACAGTTTTGGACGCTGATTCCAACTGTGAAGTCTGTTTTTCGCCACATATTATACTTTGGACCCTAGAGGCATTCAAAGTTTTTTTGGGGCGAAGGGGGACCCCCTTAGATTTTCATAAAAACTGGTCCATGGTTACAGTTTTGGACGCTGATTCCAATGGTGAAGTCTGTTTTTCGCCACATATTATACTTTGGCCCCTAGAGGCATTCAAAGTTTTTTTGGGGGCGAAGGGGGACCCCCTTAGATTTTCATAAAAACTGGTCCATGGGTACAGTTTTGGACGCTGATTCCAATGGTGAAGTCTGTTTACGCCGCATATTATACTTTGGCCTCTAGAAGGCATTCAAAGTTTTTTTGGGGCGAAGGGGGACCCCCTTAGATTTTCATGAAAACTGGTCCATGTGTACAGTTTTTGACGCTGATTCCAACGGTGAAGTCTGTTTTTCGCCACATATTATACTTTGACCCCTAGAGGCATTCAACGTTTTTTGGGGGAAGGGGGACCCCCTTAGATTTTCATAAAAACTGGTCCATGTGTACAGTTTTGGACGCTGATTCCCATGGTGAAGTCTGTTTTTCGCCACATATTATACTTTGGCCCCTAGAGGCATTCAGATTCACTTTCAGAATCACATTCGGACCCCCTTAGATTTTCATACAAACTGGTCCATGGGTACAGTTTTGGACGCTGATTCCAATGGTGAAGTCTGTTTTTCGCCACATATTACACTTTGGCCCCTAGAGGCATTCAAAGTTTTTTGGGGAAGGGGGACCCCCTTAGATTTTCATAAAAACTGGTCCATGTGTACAGTTTTGGACGCTGATTCCCATGGTGAAGGGTGGGACTAAATGCTTACTTCGAAATCTAAGCTGCGTTGCGGCATTGGCGGTTATGTGCGGCGTGTATGCCGCATGATTAGTAAGCGGCGACCACTAAATTAAAGACTCAAACGCTCCGACCGGTTCTCAATGAATAACACTGCATACCAAAAAATGCCAACTGCTCTCGTCATAAGATATTTAGCTTTAAATAACTAGGTTATCTATATCATCATTTTGAACCAAATTAATACTTTCAACTTAAACCCGCGCCCCGCTGGGGGGGGCAGAATCTGCCCCCCCCCTCCCGTTTTTCGCCAATAACTTCTAAACGCGTTACGCCAGCGACGTCAAACTTTCAGTACCTTATCATACATCAATTTGACACGTTCCCTGAAAATTTGAGCGAAATCCGTCGGAAAATTTTTGAGAAATTGACGTTTTAGTGACGTCATGTTCGCCATTTTCGCCTCAAAAATGGCAAAATTTCAAACGCCGCTAACATCTTCATTTTTAAAGGAATCAAGACGTAACAAAAAAGGTTATACGTGATTCTACTTTGTCTATCAAATGGCTATCTCGGTATTTTGAAAATTTTGGATTTTGGCCCAAATTTTTTCAAAAAACTGACTTTTTTGGGAAAATATTTATAAAATCCAAAATTTTAAGTGTATCGAAAAAACCGGAATATATGTCAAAGAAGTGGTCTATGTGCACCTACATACCAATTTTTAGAAGAATCGGTTCAAAAATGTGGGAGTTATTCAAAATTTTATGACGTCACGACAGACAAAAATTTTGAAAAATGATTTTTTTGGAAGTTCTGGACCTCTTACGGAAACAAAAATAGCACCATTCGATTCGCCGTGAAAAACTGCATCAGATAGCCACCTTTTTAGGCCTTAACAACCAACTTCAAAATTTGACCTCACTTGACCTGACCTTGACCTGACCTCGACCTGAAATTCATCCAGAGGTGGTCCATATCACTTATTGAGTGCGCCTATTGAATTCTATGAGTAAAATGACCCATAAAACATGTGTCGCACATGCCCTTTTCTATATTTTGTTTTTGGTGACCTGACATGACCTGACCTGACCTTGACCTTGACCTTTGAATGACATTGTATGCAACGAATATTGCCTTGGTAGTCTAAGAACACGTTTTGGGCAATCAGTCTCACTCCATTCTTCGGCAACTACGGTGCAAGGCCGATACTGTAGAAACTTGCATCTTGTACCCTTGACCTGACCTTGACCTGACCTCTGACCTACTTAAGCAAAAAAATTTGGGCTCTTAAGATCCGCCTTGTTGAGAGCTTTCGATTGCCGTTTTCCCCGTCTTTCTACGACCATCGGTTCGGAAGTTAGACAGGGGGGGGCAGAATCTGCCCCCCCCAGCAGGGCGCGTATGGCTGAATAGCCCAGCGGGGCGCGGGTTAACTCACTCATTCCTTCCTTTGTTGGCTCCAAACAGTCTTTCGATTGTCTGGAAATCGTATGCTAAATCCCGTACCTGTATGCGACTGGTGCATATAAAGGCCGATAAAAGAATTTGAATAGGCTCTGGCATGCGATTTCCTGGCTACCCAAAAAAGGCTGTTTCAGTCTTGCTAGCAAAACATGACCTCGCCCGCACAGGAGGGAGGGGGGGGGTTGATGCAACCCCCCTAAGATTTTTCGCGAATAACTCGCTTAAAAAGCGGCTGATCGCGACGAAACTTTCAGTACCCTCGCATTGATCAATTTAACACCCACCCTGAAAATTTCATGACCCTGACCAAAATGACCTTTGACCTGTGACCTACTTTTCAAGACCATGTTTGGCCGGAATCGCGATTCGGCGTATGTCGGCTCGCATTAGCCGCGCGTTTGCAAGCTTTTCGTGGTTTCAAACGTTCAAACATGTGATTTGATGTTGGTCCCATGCACAAGGGTGGATGTCAAGGTCACCTGAAGGTCAGGTCAGGTCATTGACCTATGGTGACCTCGGTTCACTTTTTCGAGTTTTACATGTTTTTATGCTAGTTTTTAGAGCTGATTTCGAATTTAGCAACCATTTGAACATTTACGAAATAGTGTTGGTGCATTCGTTACATGTTACGAAGCTGCAGAAGCGGTGACACGTATTACGAATACCCATCACGACCCCTACCGGTTGACCTGACCTGACCTGACCCGATGCTGGTCTAAATGCTTAAAGACATCGTCTCCGATCAAA